CAACGGCGGCATCTTCCTGCAGACGGTGCGGTCCTGGGATGACCTTGGTGAACTATGGTGAACTCTGGGATTTATCGGGAATATTACCATCTGGTTATGACTAACATAGCCATGGAAAATCACAATTTTTAATAGGTAAACCATCTATTTCTATGGGTTATTTCCCATGGCTATGTTAAATAACCAGAGGGTACTGAATTTACTCATTTACTGTAGTATTCATGGGTTTATAAACCAAGAAACATCAACAGGGGGCCCTCATAATTTGAGGATGAGTCAATAGCCCAAAATTCGATCGGTACCCGTGGTGAACCTCTTGGGATGCCCAACATTCGAATATTGTGATGTGTTTTTTCCCATTTTTTGAGACCATGAACAATACCATGACATATCATAGGTTTCTGATAGCCACACCAGCATTGACATCTCCAGACAGGATGGATTGTAACCATAGATTTTGATATATTATTTTATTGTGTCAATTATGTCTTTTTGAATTTGGATGTGTTTACATAATTCATATATGATTATGTATCCAATATAACTTAGTACAAAAATTAATTGATTCAAAAAAAGCTATGGTTCTTACTTGTTATTACTTTGGATATATTACTTTTTTAATCTATCCCACTCAAAGTATAATTTAGTATCACTTGTAGCTGGGAGTCAATGAATAACCACCAAGCATAGTGTGTTTAACTTATATACATATAATATATAGGTTTATATAGTATATAACTATAGTAGATATTATAAATGTCAATCACTAACTATAGTAACTAACTATGATATATATATATATACACACATATATATATATATATGTATATGGGTAAATTATAACGACCTCACGACCTCACTGGAATCATGGTTAATAAGGGGAATGATCCCCAAATGGCCTTATTTCAGGTTAGTGAAATATTGTAATTTACTCAGATATAACTGATCATAGTGCTAACAACAAGCATGAAGCTGATTGTATCATTCCGAAATGACCATTTGGCGGTCCCCGTATTCAGACACACATCCAAATGTGCATGCCAGTTCGTACATGATCGGAAACCATATGGCATATTATTTAAGTTAATCACAGTTAATGTCTGGCGCACAGACACAGATATATACGTATATATATACATATGTATATATATGTATATACACATCATATATATAATTATATTTATTTATATATATAGGTACATATGTATATATATATACACATTAATATGTGTATATATATACATATGGGGTTATTAACCACTGATCTAACTGGGAGTCCCAAGCACTGTCAAGTGGAGCCCTGCCACTCCCCAGGGATCAGCGGTGCACATCAAGGACAACGTCATCTTAGGCGAGGGCCGAATGGTGAAATCGGATCTAGTGAGGGGGTGGTTGGGTGATAGCATCGCTACATTGGTGGCTAGGTAAAGCAACTTTAATGGTGGAAAACCATAGGAAACCCATAGGAAAATGGTGGTTTAATGGTGGTCTAATGGGGTGTAACCAACAAAATGGTGATTTTAGTGGGATGTACCCTCCGGTAATTTGTGACATAGCTATTGAAAATGGCCCATAGAAATAGTTGATTTTCCCATTAATAGCATGGTGATTTTCCATAGCTATGTAAACGTTTACCAGAGGGTATATACATATGGTGGTTTCCTCAAATTGGGGGTACCCTCAAATCATGCATTTTTAATAGGATTTTGAGGATTCCCCATTTCAGGAAACCTCCAGTCCATATATATACAATTGTGCAATATTTGGTAGTAATGTTCCTTGTAATGACATGTAATGATATTGGTAATAAACTTGGAAACGATAATAATGACAACATATTATGACAATGTAACAATGTATATATATACAGATACACATATATATATATATATATTTGTTTGTTCATGATTGCTTTCAATCGCTGGCATTAGTAAACTTAATTCCTAGCCGGTAGTTATTGGAGTTGTTGGACATACTGGTATTTTTATAGCTGTAAACCAACTTTTTTCTCGGACTCCACATGGTATCAACCAGCAGAGTGATGGGTTTGGCATTGAGGTCTCAGATAAAAATCTTGAGATGTCAATGCAATGGCCCGCTGTGAGGTACTGCAATACCGGATAGAGTTATCGCCATTTATGAGTTATAACTGGTTATTTCAATGGGATTATCTACATTCTATAAATGGGGGTTTTGTTAGTACTTATAACTGGTATTTCGGGCCATATCTGTAGAATTGTTTGGTTAATTTTTGGGTGTTTCCAAAAATGGTCCATGGTTATCCCCCCGTCGTCATGGCCATGTGAAGGGGGAATGTGTGAAACTTTCCCTAACTGTTAAGTGTCAGACAAAGCCAGATCCCAGGTATTTGTATACTAATTTGTGTTATAAAAGATGGTATTCCATAGATTAATGTTAAATGTGTTTTTTTAAATACTTGCGCTATAAGTCTAGTGATTCTCGGTAAAACCCATGATACATTACTGCAATGAATCTTTGGCTATGCAATCATAGCGACCTCATGACAGGGTGTGAGATCCATTGTGAACAGAAATAATTATCCATTTGCCATTTGGAGGTATATCTATGTTCAAGGCACGCAGTGCGACTGTTTGCAAAAAGCAAGTCGGACTTTGAAACGATGGCATTAAAGCCGACTGCACGACTTTAGCTTCCCCTATTCAGGAAGCTATCAGTCACCGTAGGCACTGTGTGGCCCCCAGGGTGCTTTTAACTTTAAAGGCGGGCAAGAAGTTGCTCAGTTACTGGTTGTAAGAAGTTATATACTAGCTACTGGTTGTAACTAGCTGAAGCTCAATCATTCAGGAGGCAACACTTGGTCCAACGCCATTTAGTCTGTGGAATCCTGTCGGATTCCCATGATGCATATCCCCCTATTTTTGGATGGAATTGACATGTGATAAAGTCATAGTTTCCCATTACATTGACGTGTAACCAAATCTCATTGATACAGGGAAAATTGTCAGTAAAACCAGGATACTGGGAAAAGAGAGATGTTCTCCTGCAAGTTGTCCATACAACTCATTATATAAACACAACTAAATCAAATGATTCTTTGATGCCCCCACTGCTGTGTCGTGACACTAGGCGTGGCTTTGGCAGACACAGCACCACGTGCGTTGGGCGCCTCAGGGGTCAGAAGTTCTTTGGAACAGGTGGTTGGTTAGTCGAGGATGCGTAAATATCCTTTAGGGCTTTAGGGTGGATTTTTAATATCACCTAGACATACCTAGATGATTGGTTTATTAATGTCTCCTATCTCCAACCTGGTGATGCCAGTTCATCCACAACACCAGGTGACGATAATCTCCAGTCCGTGGCTCTCCCTGGCAGCATCTGGATATCTAACATCAGTTGATGTTGCATGACCATTTGGATGTCATGTTCGGCACATAGATCAACCTACCCATCAAAGATGGACATGGATGTCCCGATGTTTTCTAAGATATGCCCCCAACACTAGGTCAATCTTAGATGGGTACTTTAATCCTTCAGTCTTTTGGTATCAATGGGATTATCTACTAACTAGATCTAACTAGCTAGAAACAAATATCAAGTTTTGCGGGGTATCTGGCTGGCACTGAACATATCAACATGTTTACCCTGCTGATCCATCCAGCCGGACAAATCTGGAGCATGTCCGTAGTACATGGCTACGTGATTTAAGTGTGTTTTTTGTGGATGCCATAAAGTTACATATCACTATTATGTAAATGATTTGTAAATACATAATTTATACAGTCTACACATACGATATCATTAAAATGTCTATGTAGATGTACGCAGCACCTCTCATTTTTGATTTCGATCCATGGTGCTTCAAAATCTCTGCGTTTCTCCAGTCGACCGTCATGGCATCAGGATTGCCGAAGACGACTCGCAAGTCATCGTTGGCACCTCAGGGGCGGATGCGCTCGTCGCCAACAAGGGTTGGTCAGGGATGAACGTTCATCCCCCCATATGAAGCACCCCTATGGTGCCAAGTATGTGGATCTATCCCCTACCAAACCACGGTTCCACGGTTTATGGGGGTGTTTACTATCAGGGGGATGACAGCCATGTCTTGGTGAATCAATAGGATGTTTTTGATATATTGGTGCTGCTTGAGGACATTTTACATGGTTTACCATTTATTTCTTCGCTATATGGGGGGGTTCCACAAATGGGGGTCCCCCAAAAGTTGGATGGTTTATAATGGAAAATCCAACTAAAATGGATGATTTGGGGGTACCCCTATTTTAGGAAACCTCCATATATAACTATAGTAGATATTATAGACGTCAATCACTAACTAACTATGGTAATTACTTCCATTTTACGAAACCCCTTACTATCGCTTGTTCAATGAGAGGTTTCCCCTGAAGCAACCAGTGGGGACACGGATTTCTCCCAGACTTGGATGAGAAATCCGTCCATAGTCCATCAACCACTATGTATTGGATTATCTATATATATATATGTATATATATCGATATATTCATATATCAATATATCAATGTATCAATGTATCAATGTATGAATATGTGTATTTATAGATATCAATATACCTGTATATATTCATATACACATACAGTTATATATATATATATATCAGTATATCCAAATCTATATTTCCATATATCTATATTTCCATATATCTCTATATATATATATGTATATCCATATGTATATATATATATATGTATACCTGTAACTATATATATATATACATATGTACATATATATATATATATGTATCTAGATATATCTATATACCCATATACCCATAGTTCCATATATCTATATGTCAGTATATATATATATACATACACAACTAGCTTTTAATTGGGGGATACTTCACCCATTTCTGATCACATGCTCCAAATCCCTTGCATGTGGGACACCAAATGAATAGATCATAATGCCATCACCACTGGTCAAACCTTGGATATTAGCCTCATCAGCTTAAAAACGTCACGTTTCTAGGGCCTTTTGGGGCCATGATGGGCCATGGCAAGATTGGCCATGACCAGGGCCACTTTCCCCTCCCTGTCCTGACGAACTTTCAGGTGATGCAATACGCCGGCATCCGGGCGGATGAGTTGCCCGGAACACCCAGAGGGGAACTGCTGCTTTGCGCTTCGCTGGGAAAATGAGCGAACTATAAATGGTTCAGTATAGTTATAGCCATACATTAAATGAATTTAGAAGCCATGCAATTCATTTTTAGCGGGCTGTGTCATAGATCAAGAAGAAATCGAAGTTAAACTTGTTGCAGGGGTTCAACAAGCCACCAAGGTAATGTCCCCTGTTGGTCATTTGACGATGATTGCCACCTTTTTTGGACCCATAGTCTCTTTTTGTTCCACACCTTTCGGGCTGAGTCCTCTTATTCAGAGCTGTTGATTGAGAATGAATTGGCCTTACGTGTTTTTGCGACTGGATCACAAGTATTCAGTAGATTTCAATAGTATGTTCCCCAATTGGTCATTCCTATACCCCGTAATGTTAGTTGATGTTAGTTGTACGCCCCACATGGGACCCCATTTCATGAATTGAGGGAAGAGGATACACTGAAATTGAGCAAAACTGTATGTTTGTAGTAGATAGTTGGACGTTCAGGTAGACATGTTGGACTGATATGATATAGATATATACACTATATTTAGCTGTTTACATATCGTTAAAGTATGTATTTATAATATGGCAATCTGAAATATAAATAATATATATACATATAAGTATACAGAAAGAAATGAGAGAGATCTGTTAGTCTTATTTTGATTATTGTCATATATTACATTATGTAGCTGTACTGCATTCACATTGGACAATACTATGGTAGCTGTACCGCATTCACACGACAATGTCATGTACGGTATACAGTATACGTATATGCATAGATCAAATGTTAAATGATCAACTGGAACTTGCGAACAGTCACGGATGGTTCAATGGGTCCTTGTATGTTCTCCTTATCGGTTGGGAGTGGGAAACAAACAACATGTGTTGTAGTTGGAAGGAAAGTGACCCCAAAACATAGCGGGAATTTGAAGAGCCATATATGTTTGGAACCCTGCAATCCTGTACACTTAACCATCAGTTTATATCAGTACATATTAGTACATATACATATCATATAAACTAATCTTAGAATATATATATATATATTTATAGCCATCATATCGGATGTGTTTTTTCGATCCAAACGTCTCAACGTCCCAACGTCTCAACCGTGCTTTCTCACCTGCCGAGGCCCGTCCGGATGATTGGCAATCTGGTGGCCGGCTCAAACGACATGGGTTACATGCACCCGGTGGCGGACGCCCAGTGGTCGTGGACGTGGAAGCTGGGGTTATTAACAACGCATCGTGCAACTGCCACTATTGATAGACTGTGTATATTATATTTAAACCTACATATATGGATATAGTACAGCAAAAAAATGAGCTATAATGAACTACATATATATATATACATACAGCTACAGATTGAAGGATAGACAGATGGATATACAGCTTGCAGGAGTCTAAGGTGAATTCTGGTGGAGGTTTCATGTGATTCGGGTGGAAGTGACCGTTGCACCGTGGTGACCCATACCCAACATGGCCAAAAGACAAAGAAAGAAGATCCATACAGGATGGGGCACGCAAGATAGCGTTCAGTAGCCTTGTAAGTGGTTTTTAACTATGGTTTATGGTAGATATAACATGATATAACTATAGTATTCATGGGGGTTATCTCATGGTTTATGAACCAACTTATACCAACTTATAACTGGGCGGCCCCATCCTGTACCCAACATTCTAACATGTTGGTACAGGATATTTCAAGATACCCCTGACAGCCCTGATACCCCAACCTGCCCCAGCATTTTGCGATCAGCAGACTTGTTGTTGGATCGCCTATTTTACCCTCTGGTAAACGTTTACATGGCTGCAGAAATCACCATTTTTAGTGCGCAAATCAACTATAAATGTTATAAATGGCAATGTTCAATCATCAATAGCTAACATATTTGTGATAAATCAACTCTAAATTGCCATTTTCCCATTTACAAACTGTTGAATTACCAGAGGCTACTTGGAGCCTGATCCGAGGCGGAGAGGTGTCCTCCCCGTGGCATCTTCAACAACGAGGCCCATGGCACCGTCACGGGCGTTCGGGGCGCCCAGGGGCGCGCCCGTTCGGGAGGCCCCCCGTTCGATAGCTAAGTTGGTTTATAACTCCAATAACTATGGTTTATACCCTCTGGTTATGTCAAAATAGCTATTGAAAATGACCATAGAAATAGTGGATTTTCCCATAACAAATAGTGATTTTCTATAGCTATGTTAAATTACCAGAGGGTAGGTGATATAACATGATATAGCTATAACTCTATAGTTATTGGGCTTATAACCAATTAACAAACTATCAGTTGGTTTAGATTCGCCCCAGTAACTATGATTTATGGTACTTATAACTATAATTAATGGGGGTATAGTTAATGGTACTTATAACTAGCCCAAGTAATTATAGTTATTTGCGTACCATAAACCATGACGTGACATTGGAGTTATAGGCACCAACTGAACGCTATCAAACGGGGGCCTCACATTGTGATTGTGGGGATTTCTCATGTGATTTTTGGAACCAACACCAGTTACAGTAAACGTTTCGTGGGTATATACTCTGGGTACTCATCTATCCTATAGTTAGATAAATCTTGGATTACTTTGAAGGCTTCGTACTTATCAATCCTATGCTCTGGTTGTTTGACATAGACATAGCCATGAAGAATGGCCCATTTATAGAGTATGTTCCCATTAAAACCTTCATTTATATGGGATTTTCCATGGCTATGTTAAATAACCAGATGGTAATTAGTTAGAGAAAACTTAGAGTTGATGAAGGCTTCAGTAGGTGAACCCTTCGCTGAAACAACACAAATCTCAACTCAGGAGGTCGAGTGTGGAAAAGTGGCGTACTGAAATTGAATGATTTCCATAAACACAAGGACAATGTGTGTTGCTGGCTGGTGGTTTGGAACATGACTTTTGTGACTTTCCATATATATATATATTGGGAATGTCATCATCCCAACTGACGAACTCGTATTGTTCAGAGGGGTTGAAACCACCAACCAGAAAAGGACAATGCGTGGTATAGCAATTCGAGGACAATGTGTGGTATAGATTGGTATAGATATCGGTACAGTACTTCAATCGTGTGCTATGAACGAAGGTACACATGACCCAGCTAAATAGTTGTATAATTAAGCTAGAATCATATTTGCAGTTATGGCCATTTACCAGTTATAAGTACTTATAACCCCATTTATAGAATGTATAATCCCATAGAAATAACCAGTTATAACTAATAAATGGCCACAACTGTGTTGGGTAGGGCGACATGTCTCTTGATGAATTCACAATTGTTTGCATTGGTTAAATCAATGTATCCTTATTTTCAATGGCCATTCCAGGATCCGATTCATTGGAGGTACCTACCATATATAAGGCCTATGTAAGGCCTACGTACGGGAATATCCCCACAAATTATGGCCTGAAATATGGTACGTTTACGTACCTCCATCTGTTGGATCCTGGAGTTCCCATTGATATTTGGAGACCCCATTTGACTCTCATCACTGGCTCCTTATTGTCACTGAGGTCTACCTGTTCACGCAGAAGGGTGGAGCCTGCCAGACCATTAACCTCTACACAGTTGCTGGGCAATCAGACTGGCTCCAGGCATCGGGAGTCTATGAGATAATTACAGTATACAGTTACAATGTTACTAGTAACATTCTATAATCCAGTAAGATTACAATCAACATTACAATAATTCAATATGTCATCGTAATCTTGATAATTACAGCAAGTGCAACATTTTAACACAGTCATGATATGAGCTGACAAAGTAACAGCATCATAATTGGCATCATAAGGTGTCAATGGAAACTGCAACCATCATTACAACCTTTTGAACATAAGGTTTCAATGAGAGGTTTTAACGAGATAGGAACGACATTACTAAGACATTAATTTCTAACTGACATAGTTTTCTGACTTTTTATCATGGGTACAAACCGGATAATTATACCAAATATAACGGATTAATGTGTTTTTTTTTAAATACATATACACAGATTTTTTGGGTCTGTCTTGACAATGGGAAGCCATGTATACCCCAAACATCCCCAAACCGTACGTGGTTATAGGGGAAACATATTTGATTCACGAACTGAATTAGGGGTACCCTTTTTTAGACACACCCATATATGTGCCGTGTTTAATCATGTTGAATCCGTTTTGTTGTTTGGAATGTGAGACTGAACGAAGACTGCTGCAAGTAATGAAGAAGCATGATGTGTGATTTGGATGTTATTTTGCCTCAGGATGGTTCATGATCATAGAAGGTGGTGCCTCCCCAGTTATAAGTTGGTTTATAAACCAAATAATTCAGATATATCTACCATAAACCATAGTGACATTGGAGTTGTACATCAACTTAGCGGGAACAGCGAACCCTGGGGCACCACCTAACGTCTTTGGCGCCGCAAAACCACGCGTGCTGCCGAGATTTGGAAAGCCGCCCACGTGGCACTCTACCTGTCCGATGTGATGCCTTCGCAGACCCAGCTGAACAACATCGCATTCCTGGCCTGTTTTGAAACCATGGATATGTTGAGCAAAGAAACATGTGGATTTCATGGGAGTTACCCTCTGGTTATGTCAAAATTCATATTGAACATGGCCCATTGAAATAGTGAGTTTTCCCATTAAACAATTGTGATTTTCCATAGTTATGTTAATTTACCAGAGGGTATATGGATGTTGTTGGAGTCTCAGTTGATATGATAGTGAAGTCGGTGGAAATAAGTACTGTAAGTCAACATCAACTAGGGTTTATTGTGGATACATCCACAGTTTCATGAGTTTAGAAGCAAACAAACATAGCTGATGGGCACTACTGCAGGTACATGTTTGACCCTTTGGAGATCAGATGATATCAGATGGCTATTTTGTGGTGATACAACAACTCGAAATCTGGATATGTTGATTATTTATGGGTTTACCCTCTGGTAAACTCACAGTTTGCTATGGAACATATCCATTTATCCCAAGAAAGACTTGTTTAAATACCACGGTTAGATCCAGTTGATTCCATATGTATTTATGTGTGTCCATGCATGATTTGCTTACGTATATTTACCTATTAAACCATGGTGATTTTTCGCTGTGTTTCTCTTTGTCATTGGCATGATCACCAGAGACTAATTTTCTGTGATGATGTGATGTGCCGCTGTGATTGCCATCCTCCCAACTTTTTTGATAGCAATCTTTGGCAAACGGGCTCCCTTCTAAGTAGTTCATGAAAACAGCCCTCGGGATACCAACCAAACCGGCAGCTCGCGTAGTCTTTGACACCCATGTCATTGCGGGAGTTTCACATGAGCATTGGTTGATGGGACTACAGTAAGCATGAAAATGTGGTACAACCCAATAATAAACGATATCGCCAATAGAAGTTTATTATACCGAATTATACCCATAAAAATGGGATAAGGATGGATAATGAAAAACGACCCTGCAATGGTTGATTAATTAATGTTTTTTGGTTTACCACATTAAAAGCCATCTAGGGAATCTAAGGGACAGGTGTTGACGTGGTGCTGAAGTGAGATGGGGTGTGCTGTGACATGGACATGGTTTCAGATTTTTTTCCAGGATTGGATGGTGGGAAAAATGCAGGAAACCTATAAAGAGTGGTTTCCTGCAAGTTTACCCTTAAACCAAAAATGCCCGGATGCAGACGGAAAGTGTCCATAAAAATGAGGGTAGAAAGCCCGAGTTATGGCCATGATAAAGCCAGGGTATTAAGTATGGAAATTGCAAATACAATTTTGAAGATATATGAATGGGATAATTACTAATTAGTGAAGATCATATACCCTCAAACACATATACCTCAAATAGTATATTATCTAGTATTATACAATCTTTGCTAAGCTTTCTGGCATTTACCCTCTGGTAAACAAACATAGCTATTGAAAATAGCCATTTATAGTGGCTTTAATCCACCTGAATCCAGGATGCCCACCTTTACGATAGCTAAGTTGACGCAGTTATTACTCGGTGAACTGGGTTGATTAGGGGATAGACCCTCTGGTAAACATGCAGAAAACGATGGAAAAAAAAAACACCATTTTATCATACGTAAATCAACTATTCCTATGGCCATTTTCAATATCTAATGTCAACATCGTATTAATAAACACCCCCCTCCCCCCAAACATTAAGAGCATCAGAATAAAGTTAGGGCCAAACATTCAACTATCGTAAAAATCACCTATGTATTCCCAAATGAATTGCCTAATTGAAAACGAATACATAAGGGAACTTTCCAAAAAAATAAAATCATCTATGTATTCCCAAATGAATTGCCTAATTGAAAACGAATACATAAGGGAACTTTCCCCCCCAAAAAAAACACGTATGTATTCCCAAATGAATTGCCTAATTGAAAACGATTACATAAAAGGAACTTTCCAAAAAAAAACACCTATGTATTCCCAAATGAATTGCCTAATTGAAAACGATTACATAAAGGGAACTTTCCAAAAAAAACAAAAAATCACTTATGTATTCCCAAATGAATTGCCTAATTGAAAACGAATACATACAGTGAACTTTCTTGGAACTTTAGTATTCACAAATGATTTGCCTAATTGAAAACGAATACATAAAGTGAACTTTCTTGGAACTTTAGTATTCACAAATGAATTGCCTAATTGAAAACGAATACATAAAGTGAACTTTCTTGGAACTTCAGTATTCACAAATGAATTGCCTAATTGAAAACGCATACATAAAGTGAACTTTCTTGAAAGGGTTTAGTAAGGAAAGGGTTTAGTAAGGAAATCGACCATTTGAGCCTTGTTGATTTTTTTGCACTCCAGAACTTTTCAGGCAAGATTTGGAGTTTGGAGTTTACTGCTTCCAGCTCAAAGAGTCTTGAGGGCTTCAGAAAGGGTTTGAGAAAGGGTTCAACTAGGAAAGGAATTGAGAAACAAATTTAATTAACCACCAAAATTTTAGAACCCTGAAATCCAAATACTTTATTTAGGGGTGTGCAAACATACATTATTATTTTGATGTCAGGGGACTTCAAGGCTACCCCCTTTGCGCGATTGTTTTTTGGCATTTTTTGAAAGGGTTTAGTAAGGAAATCGACCATTTGAGCCTTGTTGATTTTTTTGCACTCCAGAACTTTTCCAAAAAAACAAATCACCTATGTATTCCCAAATGAATTGCCTAATTGAAAACGAATACATAAGGGAACTTTCCAAAAAAAAACACCTATGTATTCCCAAATGAATTGCCTAATTGAAAACGATTACATAAAGGGAACTTTCCAAAAAAAACAAAAAATCACTTATGTATTCCCAAATGAATTGCCTAATTGAAAACGAATACATACAGTGAACTTTCTTGGAACTTTAGTATTCACAATGATTTGCCTAATTGAAAACGAATACATAAAGTGAACTTTCTTGGAACTTTAGTATTCACAAATGAATTGCCTAATTGAAAACGAATACATAAAGTGAACTTTCTTGGAACTTTAGTATTCACAAATGAATTGCCTAATTGAAAACGAATACATAAAGTGAACTTTCTTGGAACTTTAGTATTCACAAATGAATTGCCTAATTGAAAACGAATGCATAGAGTGAACTTTCTTGGAACTTTAGTCTTCACAAATGATTTGCCTAATTGAAAACGAATACATAAAGTGAACTTTCTTGGAACTTTAGTATTCACAAATGAATTGCCTAATTGAAAACGAATGCATAGAGTGAACTTTCTTGGAACTTTAGTCTTCACAAATGAATTGCCTAATTGAAAACGCATACATAAAGTGAACTTTCTTGAAAGGGTTTAGTAAGGGAAGGGTTTAGTAAGGAAATCAACCATTTGAGCCTTGTTGATTTTTTTGCACTCCAGAACTTTTCAGGCAAGATTTGGAGTTTGGAGTTTACTGCTTCCAGCTCAAAGAGTCTTGAGGGCTTCAGAAAGTGTTTGAGAAAGGGTTCAGCTAGGAAAGGAATTGAGAAACAAATTTAATTAACCACCAAAATCTTAGAACCCTGAAATCCAAATACTTTATTTAGGGGTGTGCAAACATACATTATTATTTTGATGTCAGGGGACTTCAGGGCTACCCCCTTTGCGCGATTGTTTTTTGGCATTTTTTGAAAGGGTTTAGTAAGGAAATCGACCATTAGAGCCTTGTTGATTTTTTGCACTCCAGAACTTTTCCAAAAAAACAAATCACCTATGTATTCCCCAATGAATTCCCTAATTGAAAACGAATACATAAGGGAACTTTCCAAAAAAAAATAAAATCACCTATGTATTCACAAATGAATTGCCTAATTGAAAACGAATACATAAGGGAAGTTTCCCTCAAAAAAAAAACGCCTATGCATTCCCAAATGAATTGCCTAATTGAAAACGAATACTAAAGGGAAAAAACGGAAAAAAACGGGAACAAAAAAGTTGGCGTACTTTATTGCGGGGGGGTTTTATTATTGTGAACCGGGAGTTGGCGTACTTTATTGCGGGGGGGGTTATTAACGCCATGTGAACATTATGTTAGTTTGCCAGAGGGTAACTGAATATAGTTAAGGGTGTTTTTTAAAGCTATTTTTTTTCACTGGAGTGCCTCACCTTGTAATGTATGTTGATGCCTTTTGTCTGATAGTATATACAACTGGTTGGTGGTTTGGAACATTTTTCATTTTTCCATATCTTGGGAACAATGATCCCAAGTGACTAATATTTTTCAGAGGGGTTGAAACATGTTGAAACCACCAACCAGACAACTTCCTGATGTTTTCTGCACCCCAAGAACATGGGCACAATTCTTGCTGAGATATCCCCAACCATGGTTGAACTTCCGATGGATTTTGACTTACCTTAGATATCCCAAAAAATGTCATATATATATATATATATATGCTCATATCCCCATGGATTTTCAGTTTTTCTTTATTAGCGATCAATTATGTTGGTTTAATCAACAATAATAATGATTGATCACTATTATTCACTATTAATCATTATTAATCACTATTGATTATCCACTATCCCCATGAATCTACCACTTATATTGTCACAGAATAACCCGAATCCACCAAGGGTTCCACCAAGCGCCAGGTGGTTGCGGATTCGCACATAGGTTCGGGCGCCCAGTACCTCAGTAGGGCGGAAGGGTCCAACGTTGTCCAACGAATGAGAAATCCTTGAGAAAGCAACAGGGATCCATGGCGTAAACTAACATATATATATATATATATATGTACCCTCTGGTTATTTAACATAGCCATGGAAAATTGCCCATTTATATATGGTTTATCTGGGTTTACCTATTAAAAATGGTGATTTTCCATGGCTATGTTAAATAACCATATGGTATATATATATATTATCATATTGATATGGAAAATTATAGAATAAGGATTTAATCGACTATTTTTTTTCGGGATATCATGGGGATAATAAGACTAGATATAATAGGTTAGATAACCATACTTGAGATATTTGGGTTTGTTTGAACATGCTTACTGTAGTTGACCCATAAAATGGCTACTTAGTAGGGAAAAAATATGATAAGCCGCAGGATTTGGGGTTACCCTACTTTCACACAAAACAACATTGATATGGAAAACCGTACTTTACCCAGGAAATGGTGGAACAAATGTTGACGTTACATATCAATTTGTTTGCTGTTTTTGATAATCCTTCAACTATGTTTGTAGCCCCTCAACCGGGGGAAAAAAAAGGCTTGTTTGGGCACCTGCAAAGCCACCCTCTGGTGTCATCCAACATGGCTGGAAAATCCCTCCATGTTACCGGAGGCTACCCTTGAGACATCGTTAGACCCATCCATCATGATCCTCACTATCCACCCATGTCTGCCCAGGTATCATTCCGTACATGAGCGTTGGGTCCGCCTTCAGGCACGGCACTGAGCCCTTCGTAAGTGGACTTGACTCTTTGTGAAAGTTCCCCTTACTTCAGATGATCCTACAAGGCATGGCCCCATAGCTTTGCTAAGTTGCTGTAGAACTAGGTGAACACAGAAACTACGCAGGTTCACTATAGGTAGATACATTGAACTAGTTGATGGTGTTCACACTCAGACTTAGGACTAGAGGGGGGGGCATTGTAACCTTTAAAAAAACATTATATAGTAGCCCACTTTCATGCCAGTTGGAACTGGGATATGTAGGGATATACCCCACTTATTGCTAATTACTAACCACTTCTGGCATGTTCTGGCAACATCTACAAGATCTTTGCTGGATGATTTTGAATTTGGCAAACCGTGGTTGGATTTTTTGGGAATGGTTGGACATATTCAGGAATGTCCAGGTACTTTTGGGGTTGCAGCTTTGTTGGGATAGGGTCAAAATTTTATCGCTGAAAAAGTGCCCCTCCTCAATCACAAGTTGCTTTATGTTCATGCATTGAACTGTAGATATATCCAACACAAGTCCAGCAGTCATTGTAGAATATTGTAGATATAAAACTAACTCCCAATTTGCCCTTTGGTAAACTAAGATAACATAGCGAAAATGACCTGTTTATAGATGAATTACCTATTTTCAGAATTTTCAGAACGGTGGGTTTCCATTCATAGCTATGTTAAATTATGAGAGGGTTTTTTCTCGTGCTCGTGCTCGCCTCGACCCCACATCGTGCAGGCGATTGTATCTCCGGAACACCATCTTCATCGGTACGTCGCCAGCGGGAACTGACTGCCGCTTCGATGGAATAGCTGGATGGGAAGGAAACCGTTGAACCGGCGATGGAGCAGCAACCCTAAATTGTCTGGTCAAACCTTGGATGGGTACTTTGCGATCCCATCCCCCTACAGTTATGGCCATGGCTATTAGTTATAACTGGTTATTTCTATGGGATTTTCTACATTCTATAAATGGGGTTAGTTCAGTACTTATAACTGGTAAATGGCCATAACTGTAATATATCCTAATTATTAAAACCACCTAAATGGTCCCAAGTATGCCAAGTATGCGTAACTCCCCTACTAAAGCGTGGTTTCTGGGGCTGTTTAATATTGGGGGGAAGGGACTACTCAGTAACTTCAGTGGCAGAGCCAAGGCACCCCAATTCCAACCACCAATGGCTGGGGATGGGATGACGCCATCCACCATGGAGCATGGTATGGTGCAGAAGAGAACTTATGGGGGTATAGCATATATATATATAGAGAGAGAGAGAGCTCTCATGGGAAGGGGGTTTGATGAATTTGAGAGCTCGTGAAGCTCGTGGTTGAGTTGTAATGTTGGACCTTGGTGCAAACCCACCGGTGCCACGATTGCTGGGGAGTTAACAATGAAGTGGAATTTTAACTAAGAGTCTTGCCAGGAAGGTTTCACGAGATGAAGAAGGAATTTCAAATCATTGCCATGTTCCAACAAAAACATGACGACCCTGCCATTTATTCGGGGTTGGAAGACTAACATTGTCGTAGAAAGAATAGCTGATTATCAGGGTCAACATTTTAACGCTGAGGGTGCCTCCAAGTCATAGTAAGTCATCATAATTCATCATTAAATTCATCATAATTCATCATATATGATTTCTCGCTTCATCAACATGTCATGTGTTATTTATTCCTCTTTGAATTGTGTGTCCGTTCTTTCCCTTACTTGTTTTCTTGTTTCCCTTTCTGTCCTTTTTTCCTCTTCCGTTTCTTCCTCTCTTGCCTTTCTTCCTTCCTTTCAGCCTTGTTTCTGTCTTATTGTTTCTGTTCCTATGTTTTCCTTCTTTATGTATGGGAATGGCGGATCCCCAAAACCATGGCTTTCAATACTAAAATGGTCGAATGTTTGATAATTTGCAGGTGTAGGTCCATTTGAGGAAACATCCATTTTGATGACAAGTGTTGGGAGAATGAAGCGTTGTATCCTGTAGTCATTAAGCACCCCGGCAGAAACAATGATTTTGCAGATGATTTACACATCTTGGAACCCATTCCAGCTGTCTTCAATGTATTTTTATATTAGGGAGATGGGATTAGGTGAGTTCGCAGAGTTTCCCGGCGAAAAGAGTCACAATTGTGGGACGGAAAACACAAGTAAATGGTGAAAATGGCTCAAGGCTTAATGTGTATCAATATGTACTCTCTTTGATGGAGGTAAGAAATAAGACTCATTTGAAGGGTGCACTTTAACTTAGGCCCATCATTACGATAGTAGTTTTGATTTATAGCCTTTTTGACTGGTGATACCCACATGCTTTGCTAAGCCTCATGATGAGAATGACTTTCCACAAGGTGAGGCACTCGTTGACGATAGCTAGATACAACTATAGTATTGTAGGATGAATGGGTTTATGAACTAACGTAAGACTGAGAGTATAGAATTTAAATGAATTTTATATCTACCATAAACCATAGTTTACCTGGTTATGTTCACCAACTTCGTGTTCACGATATGGAGCACCTGCAGTCAGCCCTGGGGCCCCTGGGAGCCACCAAGGCAGTCGCTCTGTGCAATGCCGAACGCAGACCTTGACAGATCCCTACATGCTGGTGGGAATCACCTGGAGTTCTGTCCAACCAAAAAAAGGGAGATGGGATGCCCAAAAAAACATGAGTGACTATACCTCATAACACACAGTATAATATCCACATATCTAAATATAATTATATATAAATATAAATATATATATCATATATATATATATTATAATATCATATATACATGTCTATGTAACTATGTATGTGTATATTATACATCATAATTACTACATAATGTTGTATGTAATCTTGCGTGTATATACATACATTGGAGATATGTATGTATATATATATATATATATTAATCACATAATATATGTAAATACACATATGGTGTACATCCAGATGGCGTTCTGGGTTGATCAACATCCTGAGACGTTGATCACCTGGCTGCAGCCATTCAGACGTGGGCCTTAAATGAATACTAATTACTGTATTTACTACTTGGTTTATAAATGACCCAGTGGCCATATCCCATTTTGAAGTGGCGATAGTTCAGTAGTTCACCATTGGGTCAAGCGACTGGATGTGTACAGAATAGAATACGCAACAGATTTGTTCCTATCAATTGGGGGTATAGCCCCTTCCAGTAAACTAAAATAGTCATGTAAAATGTTCCATTTATAAATATGTATAAATGATTTACCACTTATAAATGGCAATTTCCATGTAGCCATGAGTTAGTTTACCAACGGGTACAAACTGTCATTCGTTCTTTAAATCCCTTTAAATCCTGTTAAATCACCATTCTTCATTCTAAGCCACTCCATCTAAGATTGGCAACGTTGAGATCAGCGTTTCTGCCAGACCTGCAGCTCCATGTACACGGGCTCCAATTTCCGACGCGTAGGGTATGGCAACTCAGAGATGGAGTGCAGTGGTGTTTGTTTGAAGGACATTCAATCTGTTTTTAATGGGAAAATCACAATCTTTAATGGGAACAGTCTTTTTTTAATGGCAAATCAACATTTTTTAATCGGAAAACTCATTTGTTTTTTGGAAAGATCCACCATTTTTAGCCAATGAACAATAGGTAATCGAGGAATACCCTCTGGTAAACGTTTACATAACAATAGAACATCACCACTTTAGATAATTCAACTATAATATATGGGCCATTCTCAGTAGCTATGTAAACGTTTACTGGAGGGTATTGAGTAACTGTAATGTGATTGAAGGTGATACATATAAAGGACATTTCTTGGGGTTTTATCCAGCAACATATGGGACTGTAACATGGAGAGTCAAAGTGCGACTAGGATTTGACACGCTATATCGAGATATATCGAGGGAAACAAGTGCTGGATTCCTGTGTGTCTTGTTGTTTCCATCAATTCTGGAGGTACTAGAGATTGATAGACCTGAAAGGGAAGCCAAGAGAGATGTACCTAAAAGAGACACATGGCTTCGTCTCACAGTTGGCAACCTCATGACCCCCTTACTACTGTAATTCTGTAATTCAACAGCATGTTCCCTTCGAAAAACGACCGTATTATTAAACGAACATAAACGAACCCAAATGCCATTGTTGGTGGCTTATGGTGGCTTCACTATATCCCCCTATGGTTGGATGGTTGGTTCGAAGCTATTTTATACCCCCATTCTTGTTGGATAGATCCCCCATGTCTTTCTCCAGATAGATCTTGATCCGCGAGACCGAGAAAGAGAGCGGAGAAGGTTTTGTGCAGTTATGGCCATTTACCAGTTACAAGTACTTATAACCCCATTTATAGAATGTATAATCCCATTTATAACCAGTTATAACTAATAAATGGCCATAACTGTGGATTCGAAAATTGCCACCGCAGTAGGAATCAACTGGCAGATCATATTATGAAAGGAATCTATGGATGGTTGCGAAATCCTGCACCAGTTGAAAACGGTGGTTTTTACATCCCACTATTTATCGGGATTTTAGAGGGTTTCAACCATCCTTTTGGTGGTGCATGTTTTCTTCCATCGTGGGTATTTCGACATGACCCGTATGGACTCATGGTTGAAGAACTGCCTCATGTGTATCCAGGAATTCTGGAGTTGTCTCAGACATGATTTTTTAATGAAATTGCAATGTGTTGGTTTTCATAAATTGATTAAAGGGAAAATCCACACGTTGGTAGGGTTTCTACACCATTCTACAATGCGGGTCTCCCCAGTTATAAGTTGGTTTATAAACTCCATTAACTATACGTAGTTATAAGTATCAGTATCATAAACCAACTTATTATAGTATATTGGAGTTATGTGCACCCCTTTCTATAAGATTTTTGTTTGAACAAATCTTTTTTTTGGGGGGTGAAAGCCAACCATTGACGGTTTCCCGAGCCTTTCCCCATGGCCTTCTTCTATGGTTTTTCCTTAAAGCAGATACGTGGATAGCCAGGGTTAGAAAATTATATTTTCATGATGATACATGCGTGTATATATATATATACATATTTATGCCTGCTTAATTGGGATATCCATTATATCCATACGTACATGTACTACATATGTGTACATATACATATATATATATATATATATTATATTATATATATATATTATATTATATATATATATTATATTATATATATATTGTATTATATATATATTATATATTATATATATATTATATTATATATATTATATTATATATATATAGATATTTGTAGATCATCTCAGAACCAGTTAGCTAGTGCCTCTGCGAAGGTTTGTGACTCCAATCCAGACTGTGAACAAAAAGTGGGGCTCTCAGAGCGACAGCGACAGATCCATAGACGCTTGAAGGATCCATATAGAAATTAAGGGACTAAAAAAACAGATATACGGCGTGATATACCGTATACGTGTATATTATATATATATACAATTATATATATATATATGTATATAATATATATATATATAATTATATATTACAGGTATTAGTGCTATACCTGAAATATTGGTTTGTGTTTTTCATTGCTTCCAACATGTGGATATATTTGATGTTGCTTGTACTGGCATCCAAGCAAGGTTCACGATCTCAAGGATAATCAAGCAACAGCAGCGGTATGAGGATTATTGATCAGTCATTCATATGGTTTGTCTGAAATAGGCTAGCCCAAGGTAGCCCAATATTTGATGTTTCATCATCACCTTCCCTTGGTACTTTTGAGGCAATATAGTAACATTCTACAAGATAGAACAGCTGTAAACCTGGAAATTAAGGAGATATGAACAGCATCTATACCGTCTATACCATACTGGAAACATTTCTTGGCATCTTGAAATTGGGGGGTTCTATAACAATAGTTGTATAAATATTTTAAGTTCACCATATACCCTCTGGTAATTTAACATAGCTAGTGAAAATGGCCCATTTATTGTTGATTTACCTATTAAAGATGGTGATTTTCAATAGCTATGTAAACGTTTACCAGAGGGTAACTATAGTTTCTGACGATTCATCAGCTTCCGGAAAAAAAAAGACAAAGAAGGCCAACTTTAGGGATCCTCCATTTTAAGACCCAAAAGTCATATCAAATATGGTTAAGTTTTATATGTTCCTTACCCATGACGGACCCTAACGGTGCTGGTATATGCAAGCTAACATGACTGGGGTATATTGATGGGATCCATGTTACCATATATACCAGCAACATGGATCCTATGGGTAAGGAACATATACCTTGTTTGTTAGATATAGGTAGAAGGTATTTAACAAACCAACAAACCATATTTGTAATATCCCAACATATTACAAATTGGTTAAGGTTTGTTAAATACCTTGTATTTTTTTTGAAGCACACCCTCTGGTAAACTAACAGTTCGCTCTGGAAAGTCACATTTTTTAAATAGGTAAATGGCAAACTGTTTAGCCAAATATCCTATCAAGTTGGTTGGATATATCCCATCAGTATTCCAGTAATATCCCGTTAAATACTGTACATTAAATCATATATTTCCCATTGCAGACCCAAATCAATCCCAAATCAATCCCAAATCCCACACATAAGGTGTCTGTAAGGGTTCTGTAAGGGCATATACCCCCAGCAAAATCTAGTCTGGTTGGCGGTTTCAAACATTTTCTCCCATTTCATATATGGGTTGTCATCCTTCCCATTGACCCTCATATTTTTCAAGATGGTTAAAACCACCAACCAGTAGTTTTATACAATGTGCCCCCCCCAAGTTATAAGTTGGTTTATAAGCCTCAGTAACTATAGTTATAAGTACCATAAACCATAGTTATTGGAGTTATAAACCAACTTAGCTATCTTGGGGACCTCACATTGTATGTATGGTAGAGTACCTCAATTGTTAGGATCCTCGAATCCAATTCCCGGATGAGAAGCCAAGGAGTTGCTGGGCCACCAAGCCCGGCTATCAGTGTCGCTTGATGTCCCCTGCGTCACTCGGCGCTTTTGGGGTTGCTGGATGGCCAGATTCTGACCGAACTTTTTGGAAATTTAGAGCTGAAACATGATGAATCACCTTATCTGGTTGATGGTTTGCAATATGAATTTGATGACTTTCCATTCAGTAATGTCATTATCACTGACGAACTCACTCCATCATTTTTCAGAGTAGGTTGAAACCACCAACCAGTTATTGTTTTGTTTAATGGAACATGGGGGAGAATTTGATTGCATGAATCACTGGGATATGTCTTTTGGAGCCTGGGGATTTCAGAAAAAAAACACATAGAGCATGCGAAATGGGGAATGGGGGTCTAGAAAACAAAGTAGGCCTGAGCATTGTCAGATCATTTGGTTTCGCGCGATTGAGAACGTTTCTCGGAAAAACTTCAGACGTTTTTTTTGTGATTCCAAATACTATCTGTCAAACCAACATAGCTATGGAAAAACACTATTTTAGAGGTACATCACCTATAAACGGTCCATTTTCCATCGATCTGTTAGTCTAATGGATACGTGTTTTCCCTTTCAGCATGAGTATCCCAATAAATGACGCCCACGTTACGTGGGTGACGCCGCCAGCAAGTCGTGCGCTTTGCCAGTATCGGGATCCCGTGAAATGTTGATGTTCGCTAAAGCATTAAAGCATTTCCAAAGGATCCATCAGCAAAGATGACGACCATTCTCGTAGTGAGATGATATTTTAGATGATATTTATTGATTATTATGTAGATCATTGAGATAATAGATCATTGAGACAAAACTGATACAGCTTTCAAGAACGTCTTGAGAGTCAGATACCTGCGGTGGTTCCCCCGGATTGTTGTTTGCTTGCTTCAGAAACCCATCTAACTATATCATGATAATATCAATGATATCATTATATAAGTCTACCAGAAACCTTAGTGAACCACAGTCTATATATATATATATACGTATTTCCATGTATTTCCAACAACTTAGTAAACTAGTGGTCACCAAATATCCTTCATGAAATCTGCTGCATCATGTCTGTGGGGAACCGTGCATCCAGTTCCAAGATATTCTAAGTGTAAAAAAACGACATGTTCGACATGTGATCAAATAGAAAATATAAGGGGTTTAACCCGAAATAGTACGTTGAAGCCGGTTCCAAAAGCGTTTCTTTTTGTGTCTTTGTTCAAGCACCATCACCCTCAGGCAACCGAGCATCAATCCATGCCATCAGCCCTGGGAGAAGGACGGGAAGGGTGAAACTTTAGAGCAGTAAAGATACCAAGGTCAGTAAAGATTCTTAATCCAGTTAATTTAGGACCTAGGACCTGTAGCAGATAGTTTAGAGTACTTGAGTCTTTTTGCTAGATAGTACTATCCAGTTCTCTTTGTTGGTTCATAGTCCCATTATATCACTATGGATGAAACTCATGATAACCCCCTTTTTAACCATAGTTATGTTATACAGCAACTTAGCTAACTAATGGGCCACCACACACACATATATATATATATACAGGTTGGGCTATATTAATACTGTAAGCAAACAGCGCAAACAACAAGGCCGGGTATCCATTGGCCATGTTCAATGATCTGACATAGGAATTGAAAACAGGGCCTCTTGGCAATTCGCAGAGGCAGCGTACATAGTATACGGCGTTCGAATCAATGAACGCAATGAATAAACATGTACCGTCTAAATGGTTGGTGGTTTGGAACCATGGACTTTTATGACTTTCCATTCAGTAATGTCATAATCCCAACTGACTTTCACTCCATCATTTTTCAGAGGGGTAGGGCTCAACCACCAGAAACCCATCGATGACCCAGTCGTTCATTTTCCCGAGAAACTCAATGTGGGATCTCGAAGAATGGGAAGAATTCTTAAGGCATGTGTTGTTTTGTTCTTTTTCTCATGGTACATCGTTGAAGTCCTACCACTCCCCAATATATAGATTGATTGGTTTTGTATTGGATCACTATTTCACATGGGAATATGGATTTAATACTATTTGATAGATATGATATTTAGTATTTATCTATCTGATTCATCCCCATAGCAGTATTCAAATATTAGATTAGATTGTTGGGGTTTAATATGGGGATGAACTATTTGATATGATCGGGGCATGGAATTACTCATCATGTTCCATATGTGACTGGGTAAGTCTGTGGAACTGGGATCAACACACAATTAGTCCTTTTATTTTTCGCAGCGGAAAAAAAAAACATATCATTCCCAATTATTGGTTCAACAAGCATTTAGGAACGAATAGGGAAACCATCATATAATATCATATAATGAGAGTGGTTGATATAATTCCTCATATTAGCAGTTATAAGTTGGTTTGCAACCTCCGATTATCTCTAGATGATTAGATGTATCTACCACTTCAACCCACGTGAAATGGGAGTTATTTGCACTTCGCCAACGGGAGTAGCACCTTCATGGACTCGTGCATGAGGACATCCACATGCAGAAGGGCTTGGGCTACGAGCTCAGTCACGACCCTTCTGACGCGGATACATATAAGAGATGGTGGTTCACCCCGTGAGATATACTTTCTACCCTTTCAGAACTTCCATTTGCCGAAGTCTAAATCCCAAGTCGACTGTTGGTTACTCTCCCGTAATCAAAAAAATACCAAGGGAACATCATCACTAGACTTCGACTCATTGAGTTCGATTTTCATCTTGCATTCAAAGCTAGAGTTTTTCCAGTGGATTGCCCAGCCATGATTGATGACTACCTACGGGCTGTCCTGCCGGTTCCGTGGATCCGTAGACGTTCAACCGGTGGATGTCACCAGGTTGGACCTTCTTCGAAGATACCACCTTCGCGTATTACAAGAGCTCCGATTGTGGCATGACGTTAGGGATCCCCAGATGCGATGCGAAAAAAAGCGACGGGTTTTTTAGCCCAGATCTGATTGGTGGTGACTGGAACCATGGACTTTTTCATGTTTTTTTTTTAATAATGTCCACTCAGTTGGGAATGGAATGTCATCATCCCAACTGACGAACTCACTCACTTCATCATTTTTCAGAGGGGTAGGTATACCACCAACCAGATACTGTAGAATTTGGAGGATTGATTGATTCCGAATTTGTACTCATTGACATGATGGTGAAAATCAATGTCAATATCTCATGTGAATGACGAAGTGTTATGCCTTTTTTAAGCATACACATACAATGTGGTGCCCCCCAGTTATAATTGGTTTATAAACCCCATTAACTAGTTCGTTATATCTACCATAAACCATAGTTAACCAAGTTATGTGCGTCAACTTAGCGTGAACAGCTCACTGGGGTACCATATTCTAAGGCCATATTTTGTGGGGATATTCCCTTACATAGGCCTAAACAATAGGCTTTATATATGGTAGGTACCTCCAATGAATCGGATCCTGGAATGGCCATTGACATAGCCTCTGGTAAACTAACATAACTATGGAAAATCACCATTTTTCATGGGAAAATCCACTATAAATGGTCATTTTCAATAGCTATGTTAAATTACCAGAGGGTAGCTAGTGGTTCGAGATCATCCGCGTTGCTTCAGAACCGTTCAAGGCTTCAGGGACTGAAGTTTCATCACAGTCGAGTCTGAATTTCCAGCGCTTGGAAAGTTGATGCTTAATGAGGGTGGATCATGGTATTAATGATGGATAATAATATATATATATATATAATATAATGATATGGTTAATGATGGTTAATTATTCAGAATGGTTGTTTGATGTTGTAGGCAGACACAATAGTAAAATCCTGCTAAATCTCTGATAGACTTGATGTTGGACATGTGGATCTGACTGAAAGTCGGGTAATATACCCATTTGTTGATGCTTTCAACACATACCCGCTGGTTATGACTAACATAGCCATGGGAAATGGCCCATAGAAATAGATGGTTTACCTATTAAAAATGGTGATTTTCCATGGCTATGTTAGTCATAACCAGATGGTACAAATTGTGAGATCCCCTAATAAGATACCCTTTGGTAATGACTCACAGTTCGCTATTGAACATGACCATTCAGTTGGTGGATTTACCCATTGATAGCATGGTGGATCTTTCCATCTAGTTTTATGCAAACGTTTACCATGAGTTTTCCAATTATTGCCATGAGTTTTCCCATTAAAAACCATTAAACATGGTGATTTTCCATAGTTTTCTGTCAACGTTGACCAGGGGCTACAGATCTTGACCTGCGCCAGGGATCGGGCCATTGCACCCAACATGTGGGGTGCAGAGGCGCGTTGAAACTTGAAACCACCCTCCGGTGGTGCCCAAAAAGGTCGTTTTTAGCCAAGGAAATCCCTTTGGAAAGCATAGGAAAATGGTTTTTTTGGGGGGATTTATAGCTGATTTATGATAGCTAAGTTGGTGAACTCCAATTTCACTATGGTTTATAGATGATATTATGATATATTATGGTTTACAAACCAACATTTTTTTCCGGGCACCCCCTTGTATAGACAATGTCCCTATATGATTTGCAAATGAAAATGGAGTGCGTTTCCTATATGTGTTTCATGGCGTGCGTCATGTGCCTCCCGTGTGATCATTGCAGACCCAGTTGGCTTTGTGCTTGCAGTTTTGACCCCGCATGCTGCCATTGACATGAGCAGAAAGTACATCACCGTTGACTTGAGCGGAGAAGGACAAGAAATCTTTGCAATCTTGCAGAAGACCAAAGTTCCACTTCCCCCGCCTGCACAGAAGGACCTCACTGACAAGAAAGAGGCTAGGACTGACAAAACAATGGAAGCGTGGCTTCCGCAGGACTTCGCTAGGACTTCGCCATTTCAAAATCAACAAGTTTACTATCTTTGCTGATCAACGAATATCTTTTCATAGATGTTTAAACTATGTTATCCACATATAAATTGACCACTCTTGAGACTCTTTACCGATAGTAGCCCATTAAGTACAATAATGAAAACACATGCTAATAGTCTATTTAACCACTATTAACCACCGTATTACCATATGTTTTTTTCTGGTGAAACCATCCCGAAAAGGGTCCAGCCACGAAGCCTCCGTCGTGGAAGGTGAACTTCCCAGCTACCTTCACTCGTACCACTTGGTATGAGGCCCGCGGAGCGTTCCTTGGTACCTCTGGGTATCCAGCAAGAAAAGTGCTGATGGTCTTGTGTTTCACACTCCCAAATGGAACTTCTTGTTTTTTTTAAAATGTTTTATTCTGTTTTCATGAGGAGTCTGTAGTGACCTTTATAGAGTTTGTTTATGTTTTAAAGCAATATATGGTTGTTTTATAGGGTTTTCAAGAGATTTTAGTGTGCTACAGTCTGTTACAGTGTTTTCAGATCTATGATGATTTTATCATATTATATATATATATGATATTACATTGACTTCTGCTGTCGGAATAGATGGAGGAGACATCTTTGAACCCCGACCCCCTCTTGCCAGGCCATTCCACTTCTCCGGGAAGTGGATCACATGGCAGTTATGTGTGAGATAGGCCATTCCCATCCATTTTTTTTCCAGGACTATAATTTTAAGATATGTTAAGACTCCTACTTCTGTTACTACAGTTATGGCCATTTACCAGTTATAAGTACTTATAACTTATAACCCCATTTATAAGATGTATAATCCCATTTATAACCAGTTATAACTAATGACTGGCCATAACTGTACCATCTCTATTACCTCTAGCTCTATCCCAGGTACCCCCTGGGATCCCATGAGCCAATCGTGACTAGGGCTGGGAAAAAAACCACCACTATAAATGGTATATCTTTATGCAGGTTGAATAAAGATGAATACCATTTATACTGGATATATTCTTTGGATTATTTGGCAACAACGGCAACTCTTCCTGAAATGCATAAATGTTATAAATGCCTTGTCTTGAGCATTTGGTGACTGCACTAGTGCGACGCCCCAATTGCGGAACAAACAGTAGACCCCGAACAGCATTTGGGTGAGGGCTGCCTCAAACTGGTGCTTAATTTCCTGAAATGTGGAATCCGAAGATCAATTTAATCATGGTTCATACAAGGTGGTGCCCCATTGTTAGCTAACTTGGTTTACAAGTCCAATAACTAGGGTTGATTAGGGGGTTATATCTATATATAGTTAATGGGGATTATAAACCAACTTATAACTAGGGGGGTACCACCTTGTAGAGAATATGTCAAAACTGTGGGTTAATCTGAAAATTCATGGGAAGACCCCATTTTTTTCCACTGGTTCATCATCATTTTCCCTCTAAAATGGTGCTGGGGATTATCCCAACCATCGTTTTGCTGTGACATCGAGATAAATTCTATAAGGACCTACAAGTTGGTGCCCCATAGTTAGCTAAGTTGACGCACATAACTTGGTGAATTCTATGGTTTATGGTAGATATAATTATAGCTAATGGGGCTTATAAACCAACAAACATCACTGGGGGGCACCATCCTGTATCATTCCATGTCCATTCATCCGTCCATTTATCTTGTCAAATGACTCATCTTCTGCAGAGGGAAATGATAAGGATGGAGTCCTTGCCCGTTCAATAGTCAGTACCCTCTGGTTATGTCAAAATAGCTAGTGAAAATGGCCATAGAAATAGTGAGTTTTCCCATTAAAAATGGTGATTGTCCATAGATATGTAAACGTTTACCAGAGGGTATATGTCACTACACTTAATCATTTTAGCTGTCTATTATCCATAGTCTATCTAGTTACACTTCTACAATCATCATCCACACTAGCAATGGTATGAAATTGTTATAGATATATCATGATATATCTGTCCATATATCATATATCCATAGAACATATGGAATTATTATCATATGGTGAGCAATTCATAACTGGTTGTCCATAATCTACTTCTAGAGATTACATTATCATTAGATGGTTATATGTATCTATAGATTGCATTATGATTTGATTAAATCATTCAAACAAAGTATCCTTATCACATTATTGTCTATAATCAAACAACAATTACGAAAACAATATGTATATACATATACACACCCGATGGATCCGAGTACCTTCTCAGACAGTGTTTGGATCCATAGGGATAAATAATAATATATATGTATACACATAATTTTGTATTATATGAATACCCCACAGGATGATGCCCCCGTTATAAGTTGGTTTATAAACACCATCGAATATCATCCATGAAGATTATAGTTTTTCGGCAACGCTTCACGCGAACTCGTTGACGGGGGGCCCCAAAACTCGCAGACCGACCTGGACGCTCGTTTCGAGCTGAGTACTGAAATCTTGGACGATGTCCGGGGGACCCAGTGCTGAAGCTAGGGAAACCAACTGTCGAGGGGAAATACTGCGGACTACCGGACTACCCCCCAATTTTTGGCCAGTTGAGTAAGGAAAATTATGGGGAAAATGACGGAACCTGGGGGATTTGGCCAAGAAACGAAATGGTGAAATGATGGGATGACATTTGTTCCTGGGAAAATCAATAACAAATATATATATATATATATATGGGGGAATAGGCACAATTTATTTATGTCCACGTAGCAAAAATGATCCAATCCACTCTGAGACTTGGAGTTTCCACCTGGGAACATGATGGAACTTGGGGGCTTAACCATAAAGAATCAGAGTTTAACATCATTTAGCCAATGAACAATAGGTAATATAATCGAGGGATACCCTCTGGTAAACGTTTACATAACTATCGAAAATCACAATGTTTAATGGGAAAATTCACTATTTCGACTGGGCCATGTTCAATAGCTTAAATTACAAGAGGGTAATGAGGGTTTTACAAACTACAAGATGAGAATTTGAATGGATTTCATGTTAACTGGGATTTCATGGTGATGGAAAGTGATGATAACACACCACTGAACTCAGAACACATCCTGTGAAAACCTTGGATATGGCTATTCAACCATAAACAACTCAGTCACCTGCTAGGAACCTCGCTGAGCCTGGCTCTCGACGAGGCTGCCGCAGATGGCTCGCCGTTTCCGGTGCCCGAGGGCGATCCAACCGAGTGTCCAACGTTCATCCCGTCAAAATTGGCGGGAGATGCGGAGAGCATACCTGGGATTGCCTTCGGATGAGAAAGGGGACATGCAGATTAAGATTGAAACGCAATATCTTGCGTTGTTGGAGGATCGACCTATCTCCAGTTTGCTCGATCGCCTTGAGAAGCTGCACAGGTTTGTACAAGGTGGTACCCCCAAGTTATAAGCTATGTAATAAACTTCGTAAGTTAACTGAGAAGCAGGGTTAACATAGATTATAAGTTTCATAACTCATGTTGAAGTTGTAACTAAGACATGAAGTTATAACATTAGTTAAAGTTTTCATGGCAACAAGTTATAAACGAAATAGTAAAAAAATATACAAGTTAACTTTCATGAGTGTTTTTTGTGTTCAGGTTCCGTGGGAGAAAAAACAAGCAGGTTTGAACGTTTTTGAAGGCATGTGCGACTAGAGTTCATGAAACGGAAGTTTTGAAGCATGGCTGCTGATTCGGGGGCTCCGGAGCAGGCTGTTGCAAGGCGATTGGCCGTGCAAGACTGGCAAAGTTTTCTGTACCTACTGCGGAGAACCCATGATTGTCGGACGTCAATACAAAAAAATCGAAATGATTGGGGAAGCATAGGACTGCACCCTGCTGCAAGCACAGCAAAAAATAAAACTCAATGCGCTCGTGGGTTGCTGGCTGGGACGGGTGAATTAGAGTTGTTGGGGGTGAGGAAAGTAAGGTTTTGGACAAAAGCGTGTGTGTTTTGTGGAAATATGAGAATTACTTTAATTCCTGTGATCCCCACCATGACATTTATACATTTTCTTACTGGCAAATCTTCTGGCATTCTATCTGACCTATCTGCCGGCATTCTATCTGGCATTCTATTTGGCATATCTTCTGGCATTCTATCTGGCATATCTTCTGGCATATGTTCTGGCATATCTTCTGACATATCTTGTGGCATTCTATCTGGCATTCTATCTGACATATCTTCTGGCATTCTATCTGGCATTCTATCTGGCGTATCTTCTGGCATATATTCTGATATATCTTCTGGCATATTGTCTGGCATATCTTCTGGGATTCTATCTGGCATTCTATCTGGCATATCTGCTGGCATTCTATCTGGCATTCTATCTGGCATGTCTTCTGGCATATATTCTGATATATCTTCTGGCATATGTTCTGGCATATCTTCTGGCATATCTTCCGGCATATGTTCTGGCATATCTTCTGGCATTCTATCTGGCATATCTTCTGGCATATTATCTGGCAAATCTTCTGGCATTCTATCTGGCATATCTTGTGGCATTCTATCTGACATTTTATCTGGCCTTCCATCTGGCATACCTTCTGGCATTCTATCTGGCATATCTGCTGGCATTCTATCTGGTATATCTTCTGGCATTCTATCTGGCATATCTTCTGGCATTCTATCTGGCATATCTCATGCCATTTAATCTGGCATATCTTCTGGCATTCTATCTGGCATATCTTCTGGCATTCTATCTGGCCGTTGAGATCCAGCGGTGCACACTGAGCTGGGCAGGTCCCAGGTTGAGGTCCAGCGGTGCACACTGAGCTGGGAAGGTCCCCGGTTGAGGTCCAGCGGTGCACACTGAGCTGGGAAGGTCCCAGGTTGAGGTTCAGCGGTGCACACTGAGCTGGGAAGGTCCCAGGTTGAGGTCCAGCGCTGCACACTGAGCTGGTCAGGTCCCAGGTTGAGGTCCAGCAGTGCACACTGAGCTGGGAAGGTCCCAGGTTGAGGTCCAGCGGTGCACACTGAGCTGGGAAGTTGGCAAAGAGCTTGCTAACAGAGTTGGAAAAGAGCTTGGCGAAGAGTTGGCAAGGCGGAAGTGGAGGTGGAAGTTGATGCAGACATGGTCGAGGAGAAACTGGAGGAGGAGGAGGAGGAGGAGGAGGACAGCTAGCCGAGGAGGAGGAGGAGAACAACTGTGATAAAATCTAACAACCCTCACCTGGCAGGTGGGGAAAAAACTTCCAAACGCGTATGTGTTTGGTGACAGGACTCAACAAACGCGTATGTGTTTGCTACGCTAAGTGCGCCAAACGCGAATGTGTGCGGAATGTGTGCTGAATGTGTTTGGGATGTGTGTGGAATGTGTTCGGTATACCATGTGGAACTCCAAACGCGTATGCATTTGTTTTTTAAATTACAAACGCACATGTGCTTGCCAAAAAAACGTAGAAACCTAGCAAACGCGCATGTGTTTGGTAGACCCATAACAAACGCGGTTTGTGTCTGGTCCCTTATGTATACATGTCTATAAACTTCTGTTCAACTTGCCGCTACAGCTCGTCACGTGCTGAGCCGCACTGGATCCCAAACTGCTGCTGCCAAACTTTGAGGAAATGAATGTTGACGACTGGACTTTGGCAACCCAGGTTGAGGCGGAGATGAATCAGCCCACCCTAGCTTCACCTGCAAAATTCACTAGCGCATTCCATGCCAAACCAATTCATGCTTACTGCCCAATACGAGCATCTGTGCACTCAACCACAAAAGGCGAAAAAATACCGGCTTATACACAATGTTGTTCCTAAAAAATCGCAAAAAGAAGATTTTAATTTAATTTTGCCTAAAAACAAATTTCCACAAAGTAACAACTTACACGAGATATAAACAAGTTATAACTTACTTGTGAAACCCATAACAACTGGAACCCATTGACAACCTTTACAATTTTTTGGACACGGGGCTGCATCCATTGTGAGTGCTGCTGTTCAACATTGGCCGGAATCCAGCGCTCTCCCAGTCTGCCGACGTGCTGATGGAACGCTGGTGATAAACAACTATGATTTACCATGAATACATGTCAATAAGCCATCAAAATATTGGACAAGGAACTGGTGTAATGTAGAACGCACTAGTCACTAATCTTTGCAATACTGTGGAAAGGATGTGTTTGTTAGCCTGACCAGTAAAATAAAATAAAATGTTGCGGGGTATCAACGATTGGCCAGGGTAAGTGTCCATGAAAATATGGGAAATTGATGCTCGCTAATCTGGGTAAACCTCGAATTCAATACTTGCAATTTTGATGGCGATATGTACAAACCAATGTATCCACCATGCACCCGACAGTTACATATATACATATATAGTTATTAATTAACTTGAAAAACTGCTTGGTGCACCGTATTGTACCCTTCAAATAAGGCATTATTTTTCTAAGTCATTAACCGCAATCAGCCCTTATGCATGCCTTATGGATTCAACCTTGTTCTTCCAGATTTCCATGTGATTGAATCCTTATTGAAACTGCCATATCTCTGTTGAAGCCCATGAAACCCCAATCATGGAAATTGAAACCCGTTGAAATGTTATGATTTCCCCCAGCTACGAGTTGGTTTATGACCCCTATCAACTATGATATATCATGACGTGTGTACCATATTCTACGATTCTCGGACCGAAAACAACTTTGCCAACTCTGAAACAACACCTTGCTTGAAAACCCATTAAATCCCTATTGTTGATGGTTAAATCCCGTATATATCCCCATTAATCCATTACATCCCCTGAAATACTTTGATCTCTCCGGCCTCCTTTCTCTCAGTCCTACGGCGGCCGTGCCAGCCCCTGCAAGAGTACGGGCGGCGGCTGCATGGGTCGGGGGCCGCAGGGGCGCCGTTTGTCGGGGGTTGAAACCGTGGGGGGTTCATAAATGGGGGTACCCGGGTACCCCAAAATGGATGTGTTAGAATGGAACATCTGAAAATGAAATGGATGATACCTACGGGCACCCCCATTTTGGAAAACCTCGGGGTTCAAGAAAGGGCACCCCAAACCATGGACTTAGCCAAGCAAAGTTAGTGTAATTTACATGGACTTAGCCAGTCTAATCAAGAAACATGGGGACAAAATGGATGCAGAGCCTTCGATATTTGTAGATTTCACCACCAACTGGAAGAATGAGATGCGAGGCTGGCCAGTTACAATGTTTTGACTCAACAGCTGGTTGGCTGCTTTTGGTTTCCTCATGGTTTATTTGGAAACTGGGCATGTCTTACTGTCCTTAGTACCTTCAGAAAATCCAAATATATGCAGTTATTGTATTCTGAAGGATCTTGCAGGCGATGACTTTGGAGGTGATTGTGTTTTTGTTTGTATTTCCAACGCTGTTTGTTTAAGATTTTGCACGTTCAAATCGTCAAAGGATGATTCGAAATACCTTATGCCGCGCTTTAAAAGATAAGGTTCTTTGCATCTTTTGCCGAATAAACAGAAGTCAATCATTTGTTCCTAGTTGGTGAACTAGCCAGGATGATTTCAGTGGGTCAGTGGGTCACTTCACCTCAGGACTCCTAGCCAAAACATGCTACTGGGGTGAACGAAACCACTGGCGATTCCTGGGTGCCACCAAGTGTGGATGACGTTACCAAGTCTATTTGGGAGTTTGTTTGCAGGTGGTGCTCCTCCAGGTATGTTTCTTTGTTACCACATCGAAGTAAAGATCTATCTACACCAAACCCAGGTGAACCTTCTGCACTACAAACCTTCAAATTGTATGGGACTTTAAGGATGCAAGATCCAACCAATGCAACAGTAAACTGCATATTCTGATTTTGTCATTCGAGGCAGTTCATGAACAGTGTCCCACAACCTGCTACCGAGTCCTTCATTTTTGTTTGCTCGAGGGTTTGTGGGCCGTTTGTTGTGACTCGTTAAAGTTACGTATTATTAACTAAGACACTTTATGTTGTCCTAGAAGTTATATTCCACTTATTCTTTCATACTTGTTGTTAGTTCAATTTGTTGAACATGACAAGGCGGTATAGAATTTCAATACCATTATCAGACAAGATAGCTGAAGCGAACAGTTCGATTTGTTGAAGTGGCACAATGATCCAAGAACAAACATGCAAGTTAATGCACGCCCTGCGGTTCATGAGCCACTTGTTTGTTTCAATGCTCGAGGTCCATGTGCTTCAAGCGGTGGGCATGCTGTTACTGCAACAATGTTGGGATTCCACAACCAGGGCTGAAAGGTGCCCAGGATTGGCAAAGATGCCCACGGATGTGGCGTTGTGTCAACAATGTCAGACCGGGATTCCATCGCCTTGGCTGGCGATGCTCTCAAGGTCCAAGACTGGCACCTACTCCTCCAATCCACTTCCAAGGCAGCACCCAAGCCTTGTGCGAGGACTGTGGTTTGACTTCCTGCTGCCCCTGGACCTAAGGGCACCCAAGCAGCACCCGCCGCTGCACCACCCTTACTACGGGAACTTCCAGAGATGCGAGGGGTCATGAAGCTGTTGATGCCTATCTTTCCAACTATGTTGATTCCATTCTCGCAGGTTGTATCCTCCATTCTTGATATATGTTGATGACACCCATAGCCCCAAGTCTTGAACCAATATCACCATGGTTTCCACCATTTTTTTCAGATCCCAAGTTCTGGTACACCGTGACCCCCTAGAGACACCGGGCCCAACGGCCCAACGGCCCCCGGCCGCGCTCTCTGAGGCTTGGACCAGTTGCTGTTCCAAGACATGGACGGAACCCTCACAGGTGAAACCTGCGGATCATGGCGCAGACAATTCCGGTAGTTGTGATGTTAAATTCCACCATTTTAAGGGGAAATATATAGATAGATAGTGCATATATATATATATGCATATGCATATGTAAATATATATATATATATATTTAATGATATATATATATATATACATGTGATGTTGAAAAGAGGTGGACATCAATACATCAACATCAAGGATTGGATCACCTTCACATCAAGAGTGTTGGAGTCTACTCCTCCGTATCACGGGAGGAGTTTAGAGCCTTTTGTCTCACCATGAAGTATCACCATTGTACACACAATGATCAATATGTTATTCATATTGTAACATTCATCACCATTATAATATTACAATTTTACACTACATCTATAATTGAATATAATATATTCATATATATACACACTCTTTTGGAGGAGAATCTGCTCTCGGAATGCTGATGGTTTTTAGCCATTGAATAGCTGTGGGTTCGTCATCCCTGTTCGCTATGAAAGCCATGGCCCATTTACAGATGATTTTCCCATTCAAACTTACTGGTGCTTAGCAGGGAATGGATGGGAATGGGGGAATGGGATGATTATTGATCATTCCCTCATTCCCTACTAAGCACCAGCAAGTTGACAATGGATTTTCCATGGCTATGTGCCATAAGAGGGAAAATGGGATTTTTACCCAATATGATTCATGATGATTTACCGATTCACCGATGAAACATGGTGATTTGCCATTTTTCTCCGTTAAATTACCAGAGGGTATCAGAGGGTAATTTGAAAACCCACTAATGGGATGTGGAAATCTCGAAGACGATGGGAACGCACATTTTGACTCGTTTTAGAAATCGAGAAAGTTTAAGAAGTTTGCTAACTGGAATATGGTGGGTTATCAATCAACTTACAGAGCACCTTTACGTTGGTTTCATTCCGATCAAACTATAGATACATTGACCATAGAAGCCCAATCCGTTACCTAGCGATCAGTCAACTTAGTCCTACATTAGCTATAGACTATAGATGCTAATGCTTCTTTGGTAAATATATACATTTTTTGTGGGTTAAATCATCTTGCACATATGATCTATGGGGGCCTTCTTTCAAAGGATCAACATTCCAAGCGTCCACACGGGTATTGTAAACCAATTGGCCAAACAAATGGTTTCTTAAGCCAAACAAATGGTTTCTTAAGCCAAATACTCGGTCTATGCTTGGGAATAAATGAAAAATCGTTCTGGAAGACTGAAACTGAATAGAAACTACAGGTTTGATCAAGCATGGCAATCGAAAATCGCCCACGTGTAGTTGATTTTCCCAGCTATAGTGGATTTCCAATCTAGCCATGTTTGAATACTGGATGGTAAATCCTATGAAATATCCGTTATATCCGTTCCATCCTCACAAATTATGGGTTATATCCGTCCAACATTCCAAACAGGGACCCAGTATGCCAAATATTGTTACGTGGCTTTAACACACAGTTACAGCCCTATAAGCATAAATAACTGGCTCAAAAAAATGAGCGATACATATATATATATACACACATCAATACATATTATATATATATATATATACACCACTAAGGTATAACCAACTAGTATAATTCAGGCCCTTTGTTGTCCACTGCCGGGATTCTTCGCCAGGTTTGGATGCTTCGCCTATGGCCACCGTGCTTCCTTTGACGCCTCGCACGGATATCGTGCTGGGACCTCGGTGGTGGCATCCGATCAACCGGGGGATCAACGGCAGCCAATTTATAGGCCATTTCATGCCATCTAAAATGTGAAGTGGGGGACATATCTTATATATATATAATATATATATAATATAATATATATATATATATATCACAGTTATATACATATGACATCATATGACGATCCATCTAAGTTCCTGTCAAAGATGGGTAAACAGCCATACAGTTAGTTATTTTGGGTGACAACGGTGACAACCATGACTACGCTTCATCCCACTTGGGAAGTGGATAAGCCTCGCGTCGTAAGTCCCTGATTCCTGGGACTAGCGCACCATGTGTGTGTGTATATATATATATGTATATATATATATATGAGGTGGTGCCCCCCCAATTTATAAATTGGTTATAAGCCCACTAACTAGTTTGATAAATCACCTAAACCATAGTTATTGGAGCTATTTGCACCAACTTAGCCATCATAAATGAGCTATACATCCCATTAAACTCACATTTTCCTATGGTTTCCTATTCCGGGTTGCCTTTACCAATGGATCCCATGAAGCCCACAAAACACCCGAAGAATGAGTCGTGATCCTCGTGATCCTCCTACAATGTGAGGCCCCCGTTGGATAGCTAAGTTGGTGCAAATAACTCCAATTTCACTATGGTTTATGGTTCGCAAATAACTATATAGCTACTGGGGCGAATCTAAACCAACTTATAGCTGGGGGACCTCACATTGTATTTGAATGACATTAACTATCGAGTGGTTAGGAGGGAGCTCGGGAGCTATGGGTATTCATATTCCCTTTTAAACAGGGAGCAAAGGAGGTACCAAGAGTTTCCCAACCACATACTAGTTAAGATACATACTCATATTCAACACCCACCAATCCGAATTGGTTAGATCCCAATTTAGAATCTTGGTTACCTAGTTTAAATCATATGATTCATGTGTTAAACCCAATCATACATAAAAATAAAAGCACACTTTTTTACGGGCGGGATTCAAACCATCCCCAGTCATGGTACTCGTTTATGGCTTGGGTTTCCTAAAGGAATCATCAATAATCACCATCAGTTACCATTCAATTACTATTAAATCGCCATTCAATCACAATGAAATCACCATTATCATTAAACCACCATGACTAAAATCACCAGATTAAATCACCATTCAATCACCATCCCCATTGTTTATCCCTTTCGATCCACGTACCTTCTTAGGAAGTGGGACTGGGATATATTTGACTATCATTTGGAGGCTTAGCCGTACCTTCTCAGACAGTGTTTGGATCCATATATATATATATATATACGTATACATATATATATATATACATATATATATACACATATATATATATATATACACATTTATGTTTATATATGTGTCCTGGATATGTATTATTATGGTTATGAACATGTTCTATTACTGTAATGTGTGAAGCATATAATCACCATTCAATCACCATCCCCATTAGTTACAATACGTATAAACCTTCATTTCTTCTGAAGGTCGCCTGGGCTCGGATCTGTGCTCAGGTGGGCTCCTTTCTGTGAGACCATGCAGGACGGAGTGAGCCTCGGAGCGCAGGCACGGGGCTGGGCACGGGGCCGGGCGATGGGAAACCATCTTTGCTTAATCAATCCCATAGGATCCATGTACCATCAATATACCCCCAATGTTAGCATATATACCATACATGGATCCTATGGGAATGGGAATTCAGGAACCTAAATTGGAGGTACCGACCATATATAAGGCCTATTGTTTAGGCCTATGTAAGAGAATATCCCCAGAAAATATGGCCTGAAATATGGTACAGTACCTCCATTTTAGGATCCTGAAATTCCCATTGACTTAATGGAAGATGAAGATTTAAACTGGAGAAATGGTGAGTTAATGCCATGAAAAATGGTGATTGAACTATTCCCAGAATGGTTTCCATGATTTTGCCGCTACAAACATGTCCAACATAGAGGCGGTAAACATGTCTACTCCACACTCCAGACCTTTCTACTTGGTGGTGTATTTCTATGATATCTATAGTTGGTCGTTATCTATTTTTTTTGCCGCTTAAAGCTATGTTTGACTTATTGTCAGGAGGCAGGATTCCTGTCAGAACCATGGAAGTGTTGGGCCTCTATCCTAATGGTTTAGTTGGTGATTTAGCGAGCTAAAATGTGGATTTAACATGATGTAGGACAAGTACGGTACATTTAAAATGTTGATGCATGAGGGGCTAGTATTGAAACACGTGTATGGGTTCACGATTGGTATCATGGTGGATCTGTCCAACAGAAGGGCTTTCGGGCTGAGGAGTTCATGGTGGATATATCGAACTACCCTCTGGTTATGACTAACAGTTTGCCATGGTATAGATGACCCATAGAAATAGATGGTTTACCTAGCTACAAAATGGTGATTTACCATGGCTATGTTAGTCATAACCAGATGGCAAGTTGGATTGGTGAACATAAACCAGCAATCAGAAGGGGGAGGGGCGGGGAATATTGTATGTGCTTGCATTTCAGTGATCTTTGTGGTAAATGTAAACAGGTACAGTATTTGTTTAAAGCACGGTTTACCTATGTACATTTACCCTAAACATCATATATGTATGTATACATATACAACCATATACATAATAAGCATGTATGTATGTATATATATATATGTATGTATGTATATATATATAGAGATTGGAGAGAGAGAGAGAGAGAGAGATAATTATGTAGATAGTTATATATATATATAAATGACCATTTGGGTTTCACCATTTTTTGCACAAATAGCAAGGCCAGGCAGTTCACCATTCTTAGCCGGTACAGTTGCTGTCTGCCTTGGTGGATAAACGGGATCCAAACTAAAGGATCCAATGATGGATGGATGGTTGGTATCTATCTACCTACCTACCATTCTATCTACCTACCTATCTATCTATCTATCTAACTACCTATCTATCTATCTATCTATCTACTATCTAATGTTTCTATCTATTTATCTGTCTATCTATCTATCTGTCTATCTATGTATCTATCTGTCTATCTATGTATCTATCTATCTATCTATCTAACTATCTATCTGTCTATCTATCTATCTATCTATCTATCGTTCTATCTCTCTTTCTTTCTATCTATCTATCTATCTATATATCTATCTATCTATCTATCTATCTATCTATCTATCTATCTATCTATCTATCGATATGTCTATCTATTTATCTATCTATCTATCTATCTACCTATCTATCTATCTATCTACCTATCTATCTATCTATCTATTTACTTATCGATCGATCTATCTATTTATCTATCTATCTATCTGTCTATCTATCTATCTATCTATCTACTATCTAATGTTTCTATCTATTTATCTGTCTATCTATCTATCTGTCTATCTATGTATCTATCTGTCTATCTATGTATCTATCTATCTATCTATCTATCTGTCTATCTATTTATCTATCTATCTATCTATCTACCTATCTATCTATCTATCTACCTATCTATCTATCTATCTATTTACTTATCGATCGATCTATCTATTTATCTATCTATCTATCTGTCTATCTATCTATCTATCTATCTACTATCTAATGTTTCTATCTATCTATCTGTCTATCTATCTATCTATCTATCTATCTATCGTTCTATCTCTCTTTCTTTCTATCTATCTTTCTATCTATCTATCTATCTATCTATCGATCGATCTGTCTGTCTATCTATCTTTCTATCTATCTATCTATCTCTCTATCTCGTCTATTCTATTCTATTCTATTCTTTTCTATTCTATTCTATTCTATTCTATTCTTTTCTATTCTATTCTATTCTATTTTATTCTATTCTATTCTATTCTATTCTATTCTATCTATTCTATCTATCTATTCTATCTATCTATTCTATCTATCTAATGTTTCTATCTATCTATCTGTCTATCTATCTATTCTATCTATCTATTCTATCTATCTATTCTATCTATCTAATGTTTCTATCTATCTATCTGTCTATCTATCTATCTATCTATCTATCTATCGTTCTATCTATCTTTCTATCTATCTATCTATCTATCTATCTATCTATCTATCTATCTATCTATCTATCTATATATCTCTATCTATCTACCTACCTACCTACCTATCTGTCTATCAATCAATCAATCAATCAATCAATCATATCTATCGATCTATCTATCTATCTATCTATCCATCTATCTATAGTCTGTAGGAGCTCTTGGGACCATAGATTTGAGTCTATTCTTGCTATTGTTTATTAACCATCCAATGATGTATCCAATACCCATAGAACATTCCAGGTTTGTTGGACCCGCTAGGTCTGTGCCAACACCACAGTGGACCTGTTGGAAATGATCAACTTGGATCGTCCGTGGGCCCGGTCCGAAACAGCACGGCTTAAGCCCGGTGGGTGGATTTTTTCGAGTTTTATACCATGTGTAACCATTAGCATATTGGGGAATATAGAAGTGAAATTAAGTGAATATAATGATGGTCGATTGATAAATAGCTTGGGGATTATACTCACCGATATTAAGTGGAGAATATCACAATCCATGAACGGGGAATCCTGTTCCCAACCAACCAGTACATAGAGATGGCAATGTCCAATCAGAAATTCAAATTCACATCATAAAATTGCAGTGTTGCCATTTTACTTTTGAGGGGCCAAACCGCGCTCAGTTTCGTCCCTGAAGCCTTAGGAATGAACATCCCAAGAGATATCTTGCCACAGAATGACTACCTGGTTCATGTTAGTAAAGTAAATCAACCATCCTCTGATTTACCATAAATAGAACATAATAAGCCATCAAAATATGGTTGGTTTATGTTGGTTTATTGTTGTTCAACACTACTGTACTTGGTAGTCTATGATATTTAGTTTCCGTAGATGTTGGTTTTACACTGCTTGTATGGAAGGTTATAAGTTGGTCAAGTTGGATAAATGATATGCACATGAATGCAAATGACAATATGAATGCAAATGACAATACTTGCAAGGTGGTGCCCCATAGTTTGCTAAGTTGGGTGCGTTTATAACTCCAATTTCACTTTGGTTTAGGATAGATAGATACAAATATATATATATATATATTATATTTACTATGGTTTATAAACCAACATTCACATACCTCGTGGGGGCACCACCTAAAGTGACGCTGTTTCATATCTTCGGTAGCTGCAGGTGGTGCCAAGGATATTAAGTTCGGACCTTTGGTGCGGTATCCCATCGTTGGGCGTTCCGCTGTTTCAGGGAGTGTGACAATACATGTCTAGGTCAGTGATGGTGAACGTCTATGAACATGTAGGTTAGTAGTGGGTTAATGGTGATTCTCTACGTGACCCAGTTGATAGGTCAGTCTTAAGATGGACAAAAACTACTCCAACCTTTTTTTTTGGTTTATCAATGGGATTATCTACGTTCACCAGATTTTTTAAAAAAACATGTTTGTTTGCAGGGTATCTAACATTGGCCATGATATGAACATGTATAAGACGTATATATGCTGGTATCATTAAATTATGAGAAATACTGTGTTCTATATGCGTTCACGTGCAAATGCACATATGTAACATCATTATGTATACATATATATATATATATTTAATTGACAGACAGGTAGATAGATATGTATTATGCATTTATGTTTGACCACATGTATAGACACAATTTCCATATCATGTAGGATACAAACCATCTTCAGTATGACAACTCAACCGTGACCTGATCTTGAGGAAAACCAACGTGATGCAGGAATCATTGGGCTATGTTGATGACTAACCTCTTGAATATACTCTTCGCGGCTAGGGGGCTATAGTGACTGGCACTGACCCCAATCGAGTTCAGATTGTACGGGTTATATAACCATAGGGTACCATAGGACAAAAGGGGTTATATCTCAACTTATGAGAGTTTATAACCATGGTAGTTATATCCACTTGTAACCCCAACTTGACGCCCAAGGACTGAACAGCTGCCCCTGCCAGGTGTTGACACCAGATGTTCCAGAAGACAACGGCTTCCAGGGAGGTGTTCTCAGCAGTCCGGACGGCCCAGAGATGCATTTTTTAAATAGCTATTGAAAATGACCATAGAAATAGTGGATTTTCCCAGCTATAACATGGTGAGTTTCCATATTTAGGGTATGGTTTGCGACAAATCCATACAAATTCCATATTTAATTCGATGATTTTCACACACCTCCATGGCTAGTTCAAGATTTCCCCAGTGCCATGTGTGTTTGATGACACCAAAGGGTACCTATAAAACATGATTAAAAAAAAAAAACACCTGAATAAAACAAGACCGAATTATAACGACATTTTTACCCAAATAAACGCAATTTTTCTTACCCCAAAATTTTGGGGACGGGTAGGGAAGACATCATGAATCCTGAGAAATGGAGGTTCCACCTGTAACGAGGTGTTGGACCTTTCTACGCCTCCTGCCCTTGCGGTAGCTCGGCGGAGCTGGGGCTGGGAATCACGACCAGATGGCGCACCAGTTAGCCCTGTCAGGTAGATTGGTAGACTCACCAACCCCCAAATCATAGGGTAAAGGGGTAAAGTGATCTATTTCAAAGGTAACCGGAAGGGTTTCATCCCTACACTTGGATCCCCTAATATTATAACTAGCTTCACTGGGATCTATGGTAGATATGTCTATAGTTCATGGGGTTTTAAAACGAGCTGAGTGTGGTTGAGCAGATGATCCATAACATTTCCCAGAAGATCGCCGCGGCAGAAGCCCGATTCGGATCATAGATTCCTGTTGTCCATGAATGACATCCCCCATGACCCATGGGTTTCACAATGAAACAAAAGGAAAGTGGACTACGTTGATTCCTGAATTTCACGAGTTAAACCCGTGGTCCTTTGTGTTGATGAAACCCTGTGATGGATTATTTGTTCGTCATATTTTTTTGTTTTTTGTTTGTTTGACACTTTATGAGACCTGCCCTTTTCGGCTTTAGCGCTTGCTGGCAAGAGCCCCTGCCAAGGTTGGGATTTCTCCTTCTATCACGTTCTCATTAAGCCAGTCTCTCTGCCCTGTTTGGGAGCGTGGCATGCTGGTTCTATCCGGTTCTCATCTACACCTCAATGAATATCCACTTTTGTTCCTGTTACTGTTTGAGCCCCGGCCCGGAATCATTTGAAACAAGAATGCATGATATGGTTGGTGGTTTCAACCATTTTTTTATTTTTCCATAACGTATGGGATGTCATCCTTCCCATTGACTTTCATATTCTTCAAGATGGTTATTGCACCACCAACCAGTGATACATGTTGGAATGTACCAATACCATTGTTGGGATGGGTTTGGACCTCTCACATCATAGCCGGGGTGATCATGGCCCAAAGCTGCTCTTGTTTACCAGATATTTTGAAGGGGAAAAGCAACAAAAAACGGCACCAGGGTTTCATCCAAACATATCCAGCATATCCACGTATTGTTTTTTTTTTTATCTACTCAATTATAGATGCTTAATAAGTCCTTATTATCTTATTGTTAGGGTTGTTGGTGACAATAAACCCTCAAAAAGCCCAATCCCTAGATATGGGTGTCAGCTATGCTGCAAAAATCCTCAACCCCAAGGTGTACCAATTCCTCAACTCTTGAGAATATTTGATAATTTCATTTTGGAATTCTCAACTCCAGTGCTGTCCTCATCAGCAAAGCCTTTTCGGAATTCCAACGTCTTTCCCCCGTCACGTTCCCCAACTGCAGATGGTTCATCCTGTCCTGGTGAAACGTAACGGGCTCGTCACCGTTGTGCCACGGCCAGGACACCACTTACTACGCCGAAGTGATGTCTCTGCCCGAGAACTTTAGGCAGCGTCCGTAGCGGCGTAGTAGCGTTGGGTGTGTTCTAAGATGGTCCCCTAGCTGGGGAGACCTCAAACAACGTTATGGTTGTTTATAAAGGCCAACAAAGTACTTGGATATCTCATGATGTATCTAAATCGTAACTCCTAACATCGAAATACCATGAATATATCTAACATCTACTATACATCCATTAAACAAATCCTATAGACAAACTAGTTCCAAATCAACTTAAAGCAATCTTTTTTTGGGCCCCACCATGAATCGCGAAGTACTTGGTGGTGAATCCACAGTGGTGATTCTGACTACATCACGTTTGGTAAGTTGGTGCGGTGCGAATAACTCCAATTTCACGTTTGGGTTTTGTTGGTATATGCATATTATATATATATAAATAGATATCTATACTTACTATGGTTTATAAACCAACGTACAACACTCAGGGGCACCACCTTGTAGGGCAATCTTAGATGGGCAGAAACTAATCCTAAATGGTCTTTTGGTATCAGTGGGATTATCTACGTTCACCAGCTAAGATTTTGTTTTGCAGGGTATCTGGCCGATTGGCCATGGTTCTAAACTGGATGATCATTCTACTTGCTGTACTGAACCGAGTGGGGTGAACTAACGTGGTACCTACTGGGGGCGAGACACCAAGTATGGAATTTCTGTGAGACTTTTATGTCGATCAATGATTCTGGGCCGGATTGGTTGGCAATAGTTGGCAATTTCAACCAGGTTTTTACCTTCCATCTGTGAGATATGGATGATGAGATACTTCCATTGTACCAAGCACCGCCAGCCTGCCTTATCCTTACTTTCTGGCGGACAATCATCGATCCCCCTGTCATAAGCAAACTGGGATGTTCCTTTTGAACTTGGTATTCATGCTTAGGTATCTTCCATTCCCGATCATCACATATTTCTGTAAACATTGATTTGGTTGGTTCATACTTTGGCTATCACTGAAGGTATCACAACTAGAATGTTGAAGGATACTGTGACTCTGTCAAACCATGATGCAACCAGAACAACAATCAGAAACCCCTTGACTGGTGTTGTATTGAACGCTTTTGATTGTTTATTTTCACGATGTATTTTATATAATATATATAATTATATATAAATAATATCCTTTTATATTATATACATATACATTTACATTTACATATACAATCATTTACTGTATCGTGGTGATCCAACCAGGCTGCGGTATTGGTCCCCTCGACCTGACGATGTTGCTTGGCACGGGGAAATGTCGCCACTGATTTAGCCACAAAAAAAACAGGAAACATAGGGAAAACGTACAGGATGGGGCCCCCAAGATAGCTAAGTTGCCTTGTAAGTGGCTGAATTCCATGATTTATGGTAGATATAACTATAGTATTAATGGTGGTTATAATGGTTTATAAACCAACTTATAACTGGGGGGCCCCATCCTGTACGAAGCATGGTGAAACATGTGGGAACCTCCGCTTAAAACTAGGGAATCAGCTGGGAAAAATGTGATTGAACCGACCAACATGTGGAAAGAACGCAGGGACCAACGAGCCATCAAAACATGGGGAAAAGGGGATTTGAGTGGAAAACAAGAGACAACAACTTGAAGATTGCGCCTGACTAGGAAAGATGATTCGATTAAAAACATACCATCCATGTTGGATTACGAGAGAATATACAGCCAAATATAGATAGCTATTGACTGCCCGTGACCTTTATATATCCTTCATTTCGGAGTGAGCTTCAATCTCAAGTTGCCAACTATCTGCTCAGGATGATCCTCCAAATACACTGAGGAAGAACTTGATTGAGTTTGCAGGTTTACTGAGCCCTTCTATCCCCATGTTTTTTGTTACATTCCCATTACATCCCCATTACATCCCCATAATGTTTATTTGAATCCCTATACTATAGCGGGTTTGAAGTGAACACGGCTCAATTGTTGTTTTGATCCCACTAATATCCCATGATGTCCCCAGTTTAGTCACTATTTAAAGTGGCTTAGTCACCATTAAACCACCATGTCTTGTGGCTTAAAGTTCAACTCAACCATGTTTTAACCAGCATTTTTGCTGGTGAAATCACCATTTTTTCCTAGGTTCAATCTTAGATATCACCATTGTTCCCTTGGGATTTCCTAGCCCAAATGCTCCATGTATGGTATATTTACCTACATGACTGGGTGATTTATGGGGTAAATATTGGTAAATATTCCAGCACCATGGAGCGTATGGGTAGGTGAACCCACCATGTTCGCCAGTTCTTTTCCGACCGCGCCGGGCGCCGCCCAGAAAATCCTGCTGGAGATTTTCTACCCGGACAGTCGCGGGGTGAACGTCTTTGTTGGCGGAGCCAAAGATCCTGACATGGCGTTGAAATTGGTGCGGCCACCCGGGGATCGTGACGTATTTCCGGGCCGGGCCAACAAAAGGGGGGGATGATGACTTGGTCTTTGCGTCGTTGGATCATGTTGTTCCAACATCATATGCATCTTTAATAATTATATACATACCCAGAAAAGTACTGAAATATTATACTGGTTGGTGGTTTGGAACATTGTTTATTTTCCCCAATATATAGTTGGGATGATGATCCAATCTGACTAATATTTTTCAGGGGGGTTGAAACCACCAATTAGTATATGTGTATATGAGAAGAGATGGGTTGTAAATTCGTAACTGAACAAGTTGATTGGATGTGCTTGGGATGTGGCCGGGTGATACGACCTTACGCCACCAATCGGATTCAGAGGCCTTCATTCCAGCTGTAGGATTGTTTGCTGCATTTGGTAAAAGTAAAATTCAAGAACTATCCACATCACATTGCCAGTAGACAATATTAAATCTTTAGTTTATATTGTAAGTCAACCATGTTATATGTGGAGGTTTCGTGATTTTTTGGGGGGTTCTCCTTTCATATCATCCATTCTTTCAATTCTGTCATCCATGGCAAATAAACCATGATTATTTAAAAGGAATATCATTGAATTTCATTTCATTTCAAATAATCATTTCATAAGCCATTATGGCAAATAAACCATTTCATTTCATGAAATAAATTTGCCATGAAATTTGCCATGAACTATCTCCCCTGGATTTGCCATGAATCCATGCCAGAAATCTGGATTTGCCAGGGAGAGAAGCCCACGATGAATGACCCGCAGGGCTCCCAGCGGCCCAGCATGGGACGGTTCAATCCAGTGGTGCCCACGTGATGTTTTTCAGGTTGGTTGAAAGACAGGTCCGACAGGTCAATCAATGGGCGAAATCGCCATCAAATGGCCATCAATAAGGGGGACTTAACTGACTTAACCATCAACAATAGGGTTTTTGATGGGATTTGGAAAAGGGGGATTTGGGATTTCTATGGTAATCTGAAAGAGTGGTAGTTTAGCTCATCCAAAATAGTCTTTTAGTATGGGATTCTCTACGTTCACCAGCTATAGGCAAACCGCTAGCAATGAGGTTTCGTACTCTGAGCAGGAGACGCTTCGTGGTGGGGTGGAAGAGACCAAGTATGCACGCTAACGTTTAGCGTGCATAGCCCCTGTGTGTACAGCATCTTGTACTATGCACGCCAGGTTCGCCATCTGGCGGTGCAAAAGGCGATGAAGGGCGCAGGTTCAGGCAAGCTGTACAACATACAGGCTGCTCAAATTCAGAGTCTCAAAGACACACTAGCAGAAGTGAGTCAGCATTTGTCGCATGTTGGCAGCAAAGTTGACGACCTCGCAAAGGAGCCTCGTGCTTCCGCTGTGCCTCCTCCTGCAGCACAGCCGCAACAGCCTGACCCATCTCTGATGCCGGCTTGCAACTTGTTGCGACATGTATTAAGGTGTCCTTGACCTAGCAACCGCTGTCTAAATGATGGCGTCGTTTTGTTCTATTGACTATTTTTACTACTTATTATTGAATTTATTTATTAATTTTTTTCTTATTGAAAATTTAAATATTGATGATTGAATATTTAGGGAAAATGGAATGAATTATTGATTTTCAGCTATATTGATAATTTGAATATGATATGAAATATTGCTTATATTGAAATTGAGTTTAATTGAATTTATCATTTGCTGATATTGATTGTATTGAGTGTATATTATTGAAATTCAAATACCACTGAATTATGTATCCATGTTTGCAGGATTGAATGCAAGCCATAACAGTTTGAGCTCATGCAACTAATACTATGCAATTGCTCATGGTATACCCAGTGTTATTCACGAGACCATTGTTAATCTTACCAGTGGGAATACGGTATACAACTATTGGACTATTAGTATCCATTTCCCACTATTTATCATTTATTCTTAATATCACTGCACCTATACCACTCTTATTCGTATACCACTATTTACATCTATTTACGATCAACATCACCAATAATTGTAAGTTAAATTGATTGTACTACTGTATGCTCATCAATTTACATCTACTTACATCTATTTACATAAATCTATCTACTATCTATTCAATGTTCTATCTATTTTCTATGTTCTATTGACCATCATATTTACATAGATGTACTATGTTCATCCATTCTGCCTCCTATCAATATAGATAGTAGAAGAATAGGTTCAAAATTCCTCAACATGGTTTTTAGCTTTTGTTGGTTTTGATGTATTTTCTATTTCCCATATGCTGTATGGAATATTTACCAACATTTACCCCATAAATCACCCAGTCATGTAGGTAAATATACCAGCACCATGGAGCATTTGGCTTTACTATCATACCACAATTTACCACTATAAATGAGGGATGATTTTCATGGCTATGTAACAAATTACCAGATGGTAGTTATAATTCAACTGGTGGATTGACCAATGACCCAAGTCTTCCTATGGTTTTCCTATGGCTTTCCTATGGTTTTCCTATGGTAACCACGATTTAGCGCTATGATTGTGGCCACTAAAGGCAGGTGGTGTCTGATTGGTGGCATTGCATTGCCAGGCATGGCTCCCATGTGGTGGACGCTCAGGCCTTACGTCTCTTGGCGCTCAGCATTGATTTTTTCCACTTGGATATTAATGGGATAACGGGATGTCCATGTACTGTTTATTTATGAATTATTAATGAAACTAGAATATATATATATATATGTATATATATATATATTATATTGCATCAATCAGTAATTATTACAATGCACATTGTATATCATTTGTGTATATATATATGTATATAATTAATCGCTTTGTTAACTAGGACTAGGATTATCAGCTCTAGCTTTGTTCAGTGTTTAGGAGCCTTTTTTGGTGTGACCCAAGATGTAGCTGGAACATCGTTGGTGCCCAATGACAAACCCGCCGTATATTGACCTGGATGAACCGTAATGACCGTCGTGATGTCACTGGAATGATGGTGAATGTAAGGTTAGTGAAGTACCGGTTGGTGGTTTGGAACATGGCTTTGATTTTTCCATATGACATATATATATATATTTAAATATAATATACTATATATATATTATAACATATATATAACATTTTTACATAACATATGTATATATATATATACATATGTATAACATACATATATATAACATATTTATAACATATATATAACACATAAATATATATGTTTTTTGATAACATATATATATATATATATAACATATTTATAACACATAAATATATATGTTTTTTTTGGTAACATATATATATATATATAGCACATATATAGATATGTGTATATATATATATATGGAAAACAAAATGTGCGGAATACCATCTTCCAGGACCTTTAAACAAATGCAGAAACACAGGGATCAATTGAACTGCTCCACCAGGATATGTTTGTTGAAGAAGATGCGTGACAGGTTGAATTTTACAAGAAATATATTCCATTGTTGCAAAAATATGTTTTTTTTGGGAGACTGTACAAGGTGGTGTCCGCCAGTTATAAGACAAATTGGCTTATAAACCAATTTGACTAGTTTGATGTATTTACCAGGAACCCTACTTAACCTACATGACTAAACCAACTTACCATGACAAATCATCACAAACCCGATATATATATATATATAAGTCATAAGTCACAATGTTGTCGCTTGAATCACCATTCTTTGTTGGTCTTCAGGTTATACTGCAATGTGGCCCCCCCCAGTTTCAAGTTGGTTTATAATCCCCTATACTTATGAAATATAAATAACATAAACCATAGCTATACGAATCATTTGCACCAACTTGGCTATCGTAAACGGGGGCCCCTCATTACCCTCTGGTAATTTAACATGGCTATGGAACATGGCTATTTATAGTTGATTTATATGAACAAATGTGACTTTCCATAGTTATGTTAGTCTACCAAAGGGAAAACAAAAACATTCCCCCGGGGCCGGTGCCTCCGTTCGGAACGCATTGACGAACTTCCGGTTCCGAGGTCTGTATGTTGTCCTGCATGGCTCTGAAGAGGGCTTCAGCGTGTGGAGACCTGGTAAACAGCAGGATGAAGCGCCAAGTAGGGATATCTAATCTAATAAAACACACGGGATGTTTCATGGAAATATCCGTGAAATAGGGATATCATAGAAATATCGAATTATATTCTGATATTCCTATTTCATTGGATATATATTTGTTTTTATCATAGATTTCTTGTCATGAGATGTAACGTGTGGACAAAACATGATCAACGTTCACATACGCACGGTTTTTGCATTTTTGTTTTTTTAGTGCCCACCTTCTGTTTTTTTTTAATGACTTCATCACACTGTCATCTTGGGTGAACTTGTAGCTGCGTAAAAAAACCTCGGCCATGGCTACCCCAATGGATATCCCCGCGGACTTCTTCGCAGGGATGGGGAGATTCAAATCTCAACATCCCAAGATAGGCCCCTGGCCTCCGTTTCCACTACCACCAGGAGACAGACGGATTACAGGATCACCCCCACGTGTCCAAAGCACTGCGTAGCTTCGCAGCTGAGAAAGCTCCACCTTGGAGTTTTGGCACCAGCCAATTTTTCATGCCGGATCATGACACCTGGACATTTTATTGGAAAGCCAAAACTGGTTGATTTAACCAACAAAGATGCAGGAATAATCTTAACCAAAGTAGGGATATAATGGGATTTACAACTAACAACGAGATTTGGGTTTGTCCAAAAATTGGTTTATATATTATGACATATTATGATCATTGTAATGAGAATGATGATCAAAGATTTGTTTGGTACCTATTTTCAGACAAACCCAAACGGTTGAATGGATTGCGCGTGGACTATATTTAACCATTCTATATCAACCCCAGATGTTATGTTCGGATATGTTCATCTGGTTGCTGGTTTGGAACATTGTTTATCTTTCCATTCAGTTGGGAATCATAACCCCAACTGACTATAGTATTGTTCAGAGGAGTTGAAACCACCAACCAGTCATAGATGTTCAAATGCTGTTTGATAATGACACAATGACCTCTAGGGACGTAGCAACATACCCTATACGGTAATTTGACGTGGGGGGTTGCTGCAAACCAATGGGATTTGATTTAACCATAAAACATGTTGGTTAGATCAATAAATGATGAATTTAGTAGATAATTGAATGGATCTAAGAGAAAATCAGTAGAATATTCTACTGGTAGATACAGGAAAGTACCCTAATTGTAATTTGTTACTGTTTGCAGTGGCAGCAATGGCCCGTTTCAAGCGAGGAATTGGCGATTAAACATTGCCCATTGTTATTTAATGTTTTATAAATGTTGATTGATCCACTTTTACGTATATGTTAGTCCATGGTTATCTTAAACATTATTCAAATAAAAGCTGACTTTAGAAAGACACATTGAGAGGTTCAGCATCCAACATAGAATTCGTTGACCAGCAAACACAGGATGGGACTAGCAAAACAATATATCTCCCAGCGAGCCAAAATAGGTAGTACAGATCCGCTAGATACGTTTGGCTCTTCCTTGGGTATCATGAGAGAAATTGTTGATATGTTGTTGAAATATACAAGGCGGTGCCCCAGTTTGTTAGCTAAGTTGGTGCAAATAAGTCCAATACCTAGGGTTGATGAATGGAGGTTATATCTATACTATTCCTATGGTTTATAACCAACAAAGCTAACTGGGGGGGAGTGCCACCTTGTAGCAGTCACTGACCTTGAAACTCTAGGATCTTGGGGATGACAATTTTCGCTCATCAACGGAGCTCCAATGTTTGGATTCAATGGTGACTCCTTTTTCTTATAGGCTATCTTGAGGTGCATCCCAGTTAAATGGGTAAAAACCGTTATACCCCAGCACAGACCAGTTACCCTCTGGTAAACTAACATAGCTATTAAAAAATTGTCATTTATAGTTTATTTACCCACTAAAAATGGTGATTTTCCATAGTTATGTTAGTTTACCAGAGGGTACGAATGGAAGATCCATGGTTCGCTAACATGGAGATTTCCGTTTTGTGGGGGTACCCCAGTCATCCAGTCGTCATCTTAAAGATAAGGACGGCGACTTCACCAAGACTTTCGGTTACTGTGGATGGAAGTGCTGCAACACCTTATTTGAAAGCCTAGAAATCGTGGGATATGTTGAACCAAAGTGGCAAAAATTAACCACTGGTGTTTGTAAACAAATTAGTGGGATATTACCTGATATTACTGTTTATATTAGTTAAAAATCAACTGGTGCAGGATTGGCCAATGACCCAAGTCAGGCTCGGAAGGATCTGGTGATCCGTCGAACACCGACGGTGAAGCTCAAGATGAACATCGAGTGTCTAGTCATTTTGGGGATCTCCGCTGGATGGTGTTTATTGGATGGTTTACTTCACGGAACATCCGTAAATAACATGGATGATAGCTAGGGGTACCCCTAGGACACCTGCATGAATCTTGGATTGGATTTAAGCATTTTTTTGGGATAGAATCGGTTGAAATATGCTGGATATGATTGGATATGTTTTAGGACAAAGCCATATCCGTTGCTACCCAGTAGCTGGTTCAGACTGTTGAGGTGGAACAGGTGGAACAGGTGGGAGAAGCAAGATATGGCTATACCCGGACTGGGGGATGAACATCCGGAGATCCCCGCGTTTTTCTCGTGTTCACCATGTATACAGCCCATATGCTCCATCTATGGTATATTTACCTACATTTGGATGATTTTTAGGGCAAATGTTGGTAAATATTCCATACATGGAGCATATGGGCAGGGTTTTGACTCATACCCATATATATATATAGGTTTAAATGTACATGTCAACATATGGGGCATCATATGGATGTTTCCTAAAATAGGGGTACCCATGGGTACCCTTAAATCATCAATTTTGTATAGAATTGTCCATTATAAACCATCCATTTTGGGGTACCCCCATTTAAGGAATCACCCATATCCCCATATCTTTCAATATATAGTGGCAATATCATGTAATATCGCCAGATCAGCAGACATGGCAGCTATGTCTCACAAATTGCCAGTGACCTGCCAATAGGGTCTCGTTTCTAGGGATATCCCAAAACATTCCTATGGGAAACTCTTAGAATTGGATGATGGGAACATTTACAGGAACCCCCCTATATTTGATGGTTAAAAAAACATGTAAAAACCATGGTTTCCGGTTAAGATATTCCCTTAAACCAATCCATTAAGGAACATGATGAATCATGGTTGACAATGGCACATTTTTATGGTTCGTTGAGTTAGTTGATGAATCATGGGGAATTTTCAGAGTTAATGAACCATCCTGCCTGAACTATAACGATGTCACCATGACGTCGGGGAATCATTCCCAAATGACCTTACCCTCTGGTAAACGTTTACACAAGTATGGAAAGATCCACCATTTTACTGGGAAAATCCACTATTTCTATGGCCATTTTCAATCGCAAACTGTTAGTTTACCAGATGGTAATTTGGATTTCGGGATACCTGCATTTTCAGACAGACCATTTGTAGAGATATGGCTGTTTGTCATTTGTATCTACCATTTCTAAGGGGCTTCCACCATCGTTGTTTTGTGATGAATATGCATGTTGTTTGAGCGCTCATTTCAATCAGGCATGGTATTGCATTATATTATATACTATATATATATATATATATGTATATCCACCTCTTATCCACCAATTCCACTTATATAATTTAATGCAATTGTCTAATAGCCCATTCCATGTATAATCATACTTATTTGACCGTTCCTCCACCATTTTTTTAATCATTAGATGATATTTCATTGCAGCACAATTGTTACAAGAAGTTGTTTGCACTCACATAATATTCCCAATCTTCCAATTATATCCCATAGGATCCACGGTGCTGCTATATATGGTAGCATGGATCCCATCAATATACCCCCTTTATGTTAGTATATATACCAGCACCATGGATCCTATGGGTATGTATACGATTGTATGAAAATAAATATGGGGTTGTCGGAAAATACGGCCAAAAAATTAAACACCGAATAGCAGCTGACACACCGAATGACGGTTGGCGGCACCACGCTTCATCCGTTTCAATTTGGAATCACTAGAACTAACAATGAACATCCAATGAAACCAATGTACAACATTGTACAACTACTCGCCTAATTTTGTACATTGGCATTATGGCTTTATCCATAGAACTAAGCTTACTGTTCATCCGATGCACAGTGAACTCAGTGGATAAATGTGTTACTTCTTCCATGTTCTGCCCCCGTACAGTACTTCATCCATGACTCGCAATGTTAATGGATACATGGCACAGTGGATACCAGTAAGGAATTGTTCACTTAAGTGGCATGATTACAGTCGGAAAATCACCTTAAATGGTGGATATTCATCTACGATTATCAGCATGTTCCGTAGCAAGCTGTAGTTGATATCAATGGGAATTTCAGAATCCTAAAATAGAGGTACGTTAGTACCATATTTCAGGCCATATTGTTTGGGGATATTCCCTGAAATTTAGGCCTAATAAATAGGTTCCTGAGATGGCCAGTGATGATACTGGAGGATTCAACCATTGTATGGTATATATGCTAACATGACTGGGGTATATTGATGGGATCCATGTTACCATACATAGCAGCACCATGGATCCGTCATGGGTACTGGAGGAGGATTCATCCATCTTCATCCCAAAGTTTTCTGCCACTCTCCCAGGATTACCATCGAGGAGTTCAATGCAGATCAGTTCCAGACGAATTTGGCGATTCTGCTGGGCATTCCGCCGGAGCGCATCGTTGTCACTTGGCTCGTTGGGGGGTGACCTCTGAAGAGGGTCCGTTCCCTTAAGGGTGTGAAGTTTGAAACGGTGCTAAGTTTTCGAGGAATGGAGTGAACTCATACTTTTTTTAATTTATGTTTTTCATTTTTTGATTATTATCATTCTAGTTCATTGAGTTTATACATCAAATCATGAGATGATACAACAGATTCTTCCGAGAAAAACATTATATAGGTGTTTCTTTCCTGATTGGAGACAAGAGGATGAAACTACCATAAGTTTGTCCAAGCGTTGTCCTGCAGAAATGATTTATTCTAACAAGTTCTTTGGCATTCAGAGGAATGGCGGCCAACAACCAGAACTCAATGATTTCACACATTTGAGGATCATAAATCTTAAATAAAACAGTAAATGTCGTGTTCACATGGGAAAAGGCATCGAAGGGATGACTTTGGGATGACTATGGCTATGGCACTTTAAAGGAGGTGAGGCATGACGACATCACAACCGGACTGAAATTTATTCCAATTCCCATGGATTGTCACCAGTGTCCCACGACTCACTGGCCATTTATTTTGGCATATTACGGTACATTTTTAGGCAAACCCATTAGCGATTGCTACAATCCGCATATATTGCCAGAATTACTGGCTACGTAATAAATTTAATACCCCCATAATTACTCCATAGTTGTGCATGGTAATTACAGTACTTGTTGCTTCATCCCATTTTCAGATTGGATTACTACAAACAGTTAGTCCAGTAGGGTAAGGTGATCGTCCAGTAGTAATCCTGGGGTTATAATCCAGTTGCAGTTCCTGAGAGAACCAGCAAGTATGGCATATAGGTTATCTGGTTGGTGGTTTGGAACATGTTTATACATTTTTCATTTTTCCATGGATTGGGAATAATCATCCCATTTGACTCATATTTTTCAAGATGGTTGAAACCACCAACCAGTTATAGACTTGGTGAGTGAGCAAAGGAGCTATGGCAGCTATGGATATCCATCCCGACTTTCCGACTTTACGGAGCCAAGGTTGTTATCCCGGATGGCCCAGGTATTGCATCGTTTTTGTTGCCCTAAAGGAATTTTTGAACTGGCCCAAAAGACTCATTTCAGCGATATATGACCATGTATGACCTTAGTTTTGCAGGACTAGCCCAGTTATAGCTCTTATAAGTTATCCATGTTTCTGTAGCTTTCTGTTCAAAAAACTGATGACAAACTGGATATATCCCCTAAAATCCCACAATTTCCGAAAATTGGAATTGACATCCACTAAAATCCACATAATTCCCTTGCTTTCCCCGGGTTCTTCTCCCCCTTTCGAAAACCACAACTCCCAAGAGGTCGCGGCTGTGGCCGCCCGACGGCGCTTGTCGCTGATGGACACCTCAGAAGAGTCGGATGAGGATGTTGCGCTCGACTGGGTGACTGGGCTGCACCAAGAAATCCCAGGGGATTTTGGCCTCGGATTTTGTGACATGGAAAAATTATATGGAACATGTATGGAAAATGAGATAAATATAGATAAATGAGCTATCTAGATGGATTTATCGCTATAATTCATGGTGTGTTCCAAAGTGATGTTGAAGTGCCAAAGGGTAGCATTGTGGATTTTGCCCATGTTTTTTTGACCACCAGACGGGAAAGGTGATCGTTTCACCAGCACAAATTTGGGGACAAGTATGATGTATTTGGACTGATATAACATGATATAACCATCAAACAATGGAAGAAAATCATAAATCTAAGCAAACCACTCTGGTTGGTGGTTTGGAACATGGCTTTTATTTTCCATTTCATATATAGGATGTCATCCTTCCCATTGACCTACCTATTTTTCAAGATGGTTATTGCACCACCAACCAGAACTATATTAGTGTAATTCTGGTGATGAATTCAAGCAACATTTGGCAGCCAACAATGGTGATTCAGTGATTGGATATGGCTGTTTGAGCAGCAAATTCTGGGACATTGACCAGCACAAGTTGCATTTCAACAGCATTGAATATGGATTTGACATCAACACATATGGGATGTCAACAACAACAACAACAGCAACGACAACGGGAAACATGTTTATTTATGCAAACACATATCCATGAACAACATTTTGGACTGAACATGATTCATTCAAATATTCTGAGCACAACTGTGGACCGAACCAAAATGTATTTGGGGTGAACCTAGAACCGTGGAAGATCGTGGAAGTGTGTTTAACAAAAAAGGGCTGGGGGCAAGGGGACTCACACCAGTAAGATGTGGATATTAAATTGTCACTGAACTGCCAAAGGCGTGGGAAGATGAAGGTATAACTAACCAGCACACAATCCACTGATATGTAATATGTTGACTCATCGGAGTATGAATAATAACGCTCAAGATATGCAATTCTGCCAAGCATTCAACGTGGAAGGCACTCACAAATGCCAATCTTGTTTCAAGTGGCTCATCGCCTGGTCCGACGGCCGCATTGCCACGGAAGTATGCCGGATGGAAATCGTGGCCAAAAAGACGAACAGTGTCTTCGCGAACAAGGGCTGATCAGAGGCGTGCTGGGCGGAGCAACTTCGGCAACCTCAAAGATGCCGCTCAGACGCATGCAGGTCGGTATAGCAAACTTGGCTATACCTCCATCCAAGACAGGATGGAACGAGACCCGTACTACCTGTTCAACAACGCCACAGCCCAAATCACAGTAGATTGCTGTCAGTTCTTAGAAGACCTTGCCAAATGCATCTCACCGGACATGGGCAGAACAAGAGAGAAGAGGGAGAAGCAGCTGGCAACAGGTGTCAGCACACGTCTCATTTTCATGCCAGATGAAAAGCAGGACATCAGGAAACCTCTTGATGTTACAAAGGAAATTAAGACACATATAGACACATTCATCATATGAAGCAAACACATGTTGAAGTCAAACCGCTGAGTTACGGAAAAAAAGTGAATAGGTTTTCTTTGCGATACTTTGTCCAATCTTCAAATCATATTGTCGGAAGATCATTAAGCATGGACAGTACATGTTGATATTGTGTATGGTTCTTTGATTTGAACAGCACATGTGTTACCCTCTGGTAAACTAACGTAACTATGGAACATCCCCATTTTTAATGGGTCAATCGGTAAATCCACTATAAATATTATAAATGGCAATTTTCAATAGCTATGTTAGTTTACCAGAGGGTATCATTTGTTTTTGTGTTCACATTTAACACCCTGGAACGGTGCACTGGATTTTGGTTGATCTCTTGAGCCAATGGTTGTGAAGAGTTAGATATTTGTCCGTTCCAAAGACGTGGGTACTGAGTACTGGTTGGTGGTTTGGAACATGGCTTTTATGACCGTCCATAATATTGGGAATATCATCATCCCGACTGACGAACTCCATCATTTTTCAGGGGTAGGTATACCACCAACCAGTGAATTCTAGATATTTGGAACCGACGCAATGAGTCTTGGACCGTTTTTTCAAGCTTTCGAAACATACAATGGAGAATTGACAAGCCTAAAGTCAGAGTTAGGTAGGTTCTAGCTTGGCCAGCCCACAGGTTGATGCCCCACAGTAATGTTTGTTGATAACATCTACGAAACCTTATTTGTTATACCCCCATCAACCCAGCAGTGAGATTGGAGTGATAAACATCAGCCACATCAAAGTTGCTTCATAAGTCCATTGATTATCATTCACTAGGGTCTCTGGGGGTTATGTCATGTTATGTCTGTAATATGGTGATTAAACTACCATTCAGTAGGGTCTATGGGGATTATGTTTGTATTCATGGTGATTATATAATGAACCAATAAACAATAAACCAACAATAAACCAACAAACATCACCTGGGTACCTGTGGTGTCCCCATGGAGCCGAAGTCCCGGCTCCTTCAGGACGAGATGACAGGCATGCCAGGGCCCCAGCTAGCGAAGAGTTCTGTTTTTTTGTTCTCAAAGTGTCAAGTATGTCAAGCACCTACCCATAGGATCCATGGTGCTGCTATATATGCATCAATATACCCCAAATGTATCCAAATGTTAGCATATTTAATTATACCATACATGGATCCTATGGGCTAGTAAATGGGGGAGTATTCCTGAGATTTAGATTCGTTTTTTTTTCTACGTGATATACTCAGATGTACCCGGTATCCATACGCCCAATTTGTCCCAGCATACTCCTACGGCTGGATGGTTCAATACTCAAGGTGGCCGATTTGCCCGTTGGTACACTTTTTTAGGGTGCAGTGCAAGTTTAGAAATATGGGGACTTGTCGCCATAGTTGCAGGGGTTATATCAGTTCTATCCATTTCTATCATCTATCCCAACTTCAATGGTTTTCATGAGTTTTCCATGGTCATGCCAGGTGGTACCCCCCAGATAAGTTGGTTTACAAACCCCATGAGCTATAGTTATAGTTCCCATGAAACCCAACAATTAACCAAGTTACAAGTCAACTTAGCTAAGGATGGGGCACAACCTTGTGCCATGGTGATGCTTATAATTTACCTCAACTGCACCTGCAGAGCACTTGACCGATACTTCCCAGGCCTTGTAGCTCTCTCGAGGGATGCATGACGGGCCAAACCCCACGTGCCTCAGCCGTGACGTTCGCTTGCACCACTCCTTGGTGGTTTCAAATATGGACACCCCCAGAAAGAAAAGTAAATGATCACTTAAGTAGTGATAAACTATGGTGCTGCTATGGTAACATGGATCCCATCAATATACCCCAGTCATGTTAGCATTAATATACCATAGATGGACCCTATGGGTATGATAAACTACTTGTCTATCTTTTTCGGGGTTATGATCTCAAATGACTACTCTGAGTTGTTAAAGTTGAACGATTTCAATGAAATGAGCGTCCCAGCTGCGCGCACGCAACTTCTAAAGTTGACCAATGTTGCGTCCAGCTTGTGTCTAGCAAGTTAGTTTTTTCAGTTTTTGACTTTTTCGTGGGTTTTGCATTGCCAGCGACTTTGTGTGACTTCGTATTTAGGTTGTGTCTATACCATGTTTTCATGATCGCATGAAAGGACAATGAAAGGAAATGAGAGGAAATGAAAGGAGAATGAAAGGAACATGAAAGCAAATGAATCCAAAGGTCTGGGTTTTGATACCCTTTGACGTCGTTCGATACGTCGTTCGGACGTCGTTTTGACGTCGTTCGAAACAGCTACCCTCTGGTAAACTGACATAGCTATTGAAAATGGCCATTTATAGTGGATTTACCCATTAAAAATGTGATTTTCCATAGTTACGTTAGTTTACCAGAGGGTAACCGTGTCCCTACAGAATCCAACAGGTAAAAGCAGCTTTTCTTGTGATCACTTGCAATCTACATGTGGTGAATCACTGGCGTCCCAATATGACATGAGTGTTTTTTGTTGTATTTAAAACCACTTTGAAGATGTTTTGGGAGTTGCGTCCACAAGGTGTTTCCTCATCTTTCACACAGCAAAACTTGCCAAAACAGAGTTTGTCGGTCGGCGTCCCATTGGGGTTGACCTTGCTTTTGGTCAACTTATTTGACTTCCTGATCCAACGGCGTCCCAATGAGATTTGACAGAATTCTGTTATATAAATTGGTCGACTTTAACGGTTCGGAGTAGTGACGTATGTTTCTAGGGAACTAGGGAAGCCAAAAACCAGTGGAAGTGATGCCGCTGCAGCGTGGCTTGCACTGTGGTTTTGAAGATTACTGTATATTATATTTGATCCTCGTTCAGGGCCTGGTTCCCAGTCGGAGGTGTATATACGGTATTTATGTATTTATACAGTTATGGTCATTTATTAGTTAAAACTGGTTATAACTGGGATTATACATTCTATAAATGGGGTTTTGTAAGTACTTATAATCCGTGAAGGGCCATAACTTACTGTAGGCAAACACATCCAACAACTGGGTAAATGAACATCCCACCATGATTTGGTTTGTTCGCTGTCGGACCGCACTGCAAAAAAAAACTGATGTGTTTTGGTCAAACTTGAACGAGCAAAACGATAGAATCAAAAAGATATACACCCCAGAGTCATCTAGTCCATGTCTAAGTTGTACCAGGGGACTAGGCTGTTGACCAACAGCATTTTGTCAAAACTCTCCATAAATCTGGCAACGTTGGTGTTCTCCTTCAGGTTTTTCCAGGTTTTTTTTCATCTCGCTCTGCTTCGATGAACAAGCTCATAACATGTCACTTGGAGAATCATGGCCCTGCTTCACCAAATCGAACTCAATGGACTTTGTGAAATGTCCAAAGGGTACATTAATCTCTGCCTCTCCGGCAATCGTAGATGGGTAGAAACTAATCCAAAACAATCTTTTGGTATGGGATTCTCTACTAACTCACCAGCCAAGTGGTCAATGCCATTGGGATGCGTCACCCCAGTTTGGCCCGAGTGATACCATTTAGAAGTACTTACAACTCACCCCATAGAAAGTTAGAATGTATACCCTCTGGTTATTTAACATAGCCATGGAAGCCATGGCCCATAGAAATAGATGGTTTACCTATTAAAAATTGTGGATCAGTCCATGGCTATGTTAGTCATAACCAGATGGTAATAGCCATGACCAGTTCCACCAGGTCGACGCCTGGTGGTGAATTCGCAAACGGCGCTGGACATCTCGATTTCGCCGTCCACTGATGCGGTGGGGGACAGTGGATCCGGTTGGTGGAGTTCGGAGCAAAGTCCCAAGAAATGATATGGAGGTTTCCTAAAATGGGGGGTACATACCATTATATGGTAGCTATTAAAGTGGATGATTTAAGATGATTTAGAGGAAAATCATGGAAAATCCAATGAGAGGTGTCCTAAATCATCCGCTTTAATAGGGTGTTCCTCTAAATTGGTTGCTTGGTCAGGGGAAACCTCTCATTGAACCAGCAATATTGGGGGGTTCCCAAAGTCATCATCCGCTGAGGATTTTCCTTTGCAAACCAGCCAGCGAGCGATAAAGGGGATCCCCCATGACTATGGAACCCCCCATATGGGGAAGCATGGTGGTTTTTAATGTGATGTCACATTTGGAACTTATTAAAAACCTAGTTTCATCAAAATAAAGGCTGTTTTTTTTGTTTAAGACATATTGATTTCACCACCATATGGTGAATATTGGAAACTATGGAAAACCTCATGAAACCAGCCGGAACTCATTTGGAACTCAGCCGGAGATCCCACGATCCCAGTTTACTTTCGGTTTTTGTCCACGTTTTGTGGGGGACACAAACCATGGATTTTTTATGAAATGACTGGAGTTTATTACTATTAATTGAACACCATGGAAAAATGATGTACTTGATTTGTCATGATTTCAATTGAACACCATGAAGTTTTTCTAAAAATGACTGGAGTTTGAAAAAAAACGTGTGTTTGTTGTTAGACAAACACAGATCAGTTGTTGGTGATGTATCCTGTTGGTCAACCCACATTCAACCCATGAGATTCCAGCCCATGATGTCCCAGCTGTGTGTTGGTTGAAAGATGTTTAAACGACTCAGATTGTGGATAAACCAAGCCCATGGGCACGTATATCCTATGAGACATTTCCATTATATCATTATCTTGTCATAAAGTGGCTGTTTTCCTCTATCTCTTAGTTGTTTAAATCCCCTATGTTTGGATATGTTCTTCATATAAGATGCATCCATTAACCATTTATTAGCCTTGCTGAGATCCTATTGTATCATATTATGATTTATCACCATAACTGCCATAACCGGTATATGAAGTCCTAAATACATCCATTTTGTCTCCCAGTTACTTTGTTAAGATAAGATTCCATCGTGTCATATTAACTCTCAAGGTGGTACCCATAGTTGTGCATCAACAAACACACATGACTAACCTTATAGTTATAGGATACCTGTACGAGTTTCCTCTAGGAAATGAGAGTTGACCCACCGGAAGAGGTTATACCATGTTATACCACATCTAAATTCTATTAGAAAATCATCTGTGCCAACCAGACCGGGTGAACTTGTACAAAACTAAATTAATTATGGATATTCGCTTCACCATATTCTTGATCAAACCTTATAGCTATATCCATATTTATATCCTATTACCCCCTGGCAAACCGACGTAGCTATAGAAAATCACCTTTTTTTCAATGGGTAAACCAACTATAAATTGATATTACCAGAGGGTATTAACTGGCAATTTTCAATAGCTATAAATTGACATTACATGAAAAATGGCAATGTTCAATACAGTTATGGCCATTTACCAGTTATAAGTACTTACAAAACCCCCATTTATAGAATGTAGAAAATCCCATAGAAATAACCAGTTATAACTAATAGCCATGGCCATAACTGTAGCAAACTGTAACAAATTACCGGGTCCGGCTATGGTTTGACCCGCAGCTTCATCCCATCTTTTTCCAGGCGGCCGCTGCCTCCGGCGGAGATTCCACCAGCCAAGGCCGTGGATTTTGTCGAAGATGGGATGTTCATGGGATCTTAGATGCCTGGTGATTTAACATAGCTATAGAAGCCATGGCCCATAGAAATAGATGATTTTCCCAGCGAACGAAACCTCCATTGATTTTGGGGATTTTCCAGTTCGCTATGTTAGTCATAACCAGATGGTAGATGGCTGGAAACTAATCCTTCCCCTCTGGTAATGACTAACAGTTTGCGAACTGGAAAATGGCCATAGAAAGTTCGTTGATTTACCTATAAACAATGGTGATTTCCATAGCTATGTCAAATTACCAGAGGGTAGAAATCCAAAAAAGTTTCTCAATGGATATGGGATTATCTAAGATTTAAAAAAGCTAAGAAAGTTTTTTTTTGCAGTGTATCTACGATTGGCCATGTCAAGCCACTTGTTGTTTTTTTCTCGGTGGTGATAACTGTATCAAAGTCGAATAAACCACTTTTACTGTGATTGAAGCTCATTTGTTTAAGTAATGGTTTGAATCTTTGAATCACGTTTTTTTCTTAAGAATGATGTTTATAAAAGGATAGACTTCGTAATATAATATGATATAATATGTGTGGATTCTTGTTGGTATAGACAAACACTAGTAGACTAAGTCTATATAATAGTTATTATTCAAAAAAATGCAGAAACGGTTCAATGAACATATGTGTATATATATATAGAGATATAGAGACATATATATATATATATATATAGATAGTATATGATATTATCGGGATTTTCTTTTCCTATTTTTACCGAGGTTGCTATAGGTAGCCAGGTATCATATTTTTCCAAACGTTCGGTGGTGCCCCAGTGAGCTGTTCACGCTAAGGAAACCCGTTTGGAAACCATAGGAACATGTGGGTTTAATGGGATTTATAACTGATTTATGATAGCTAAGTTGGTGCCTTTATAACTCCAATTTCACTGTGTGTTTATAGGTTATATGAGGCATATATGAGGTATATATGATTATATATGTCTGTTTAGTTCATGGGCTCATAAGCAATTTATATCTGGGGGGGCACCACACGTTTAACTACTTGGAGCCAGGCTCCAACGGATCGCCAGTTTGTGGATGAAGAATGGTACCATATCCTGGGCCGTTTTTGTTAAGGTGATTTGTTGTGATTTTTCCAATGGAAAATCTACCATTGGGGGAATCTATAGTGTTTTTTTTTTGGGGGGGGGAGCCCTTTTTTTGCAAATCTAGATGGTACCTATGTTTTGATACTCCACGCGGCTGTGTTTGGCCCCTTTCATCGCATGTCACTGTTTCATAGTGTCATAGGAAAATCATTTTCGAATGTCGAGGGTGAGACTGTCCATTTCTACAAGTTTCAGACATTTGAAATTGCATAAACCTACCCTCTGGTTATTTAACATAGCCATGGACAATTGCCCATTCATAGATGATTTTCCCACTAAAACCTCCATTCATAAGGGATTTCCCATGGCTATGTTAAATAACCAGATGGTATGTTTTTTTCTGAAAGCTGTCCCCGGTTTCCGCCGCTTTCCCTAGCAGGTGCCGATGCCCTGAACGCTCAGACCAATGAGCTCACGGAGGTCTGGCGGTGTTTGCTTTTGAATTGTTTATGAACATTTGGATATGTTTTTGTCCGATTTATGGCATATATATAATATTTGGATCATAAACATATTCCCTTTATATTTGGATCATATATTTTTTTATGGATTCCCTTATATATATATATATCCCGGTATCTCAAGCTATGGCCCATGAAATGCACGTCGTAGGTATCCAGCAACATCGCGGCGCTCTCCACCAGCCCAGAGTTGGCGGCAGCGGTGGGCGCAGAGGTGGGACCCAGTTATGTTTGTTGGTCTATGGAAAGATCCACCATTTTGAATGGGAAAATCACCTATAAATGGATATAAATAGCAATTTTCAATAATGTTAACCCCGGATTAATAAAAACCATGGTACCCTCCCAATTAAACAGCCTAGGGGTTTATTAATCCAGGGTTGACATTAATTATAAATATCTATCTTGTTGGTGGTTTCAAACATGGCTTTTATTTTCCATTTCATAAATGGGATACATAATCCTTCCCATTGACAAGCATATTTTTCAAGATGGTTAAAACCACCAACCAGCCATGAATACTATAGTTATCATGAAGACTATAGTTATAATATAGTTATAAGTATCATGATACCATAGTTCTTGGACTTATTTGCACGAGCTTAGCTATCAGGGCCCCACTTTTGTCGGAGTCTTGCAAATCACTGGGCTCAACCAGATCGGGAGATGAACGATTAAAGGGTTCATGTTGGTTGATCATTTATAATATGTTAGTTGTTGTTAAAGGGATATGAATGATCACTCAAGCACAATCATGAATGGTGGTTGGCTGATTTTGTTTGGTCCAGTGATGATGATGCCTTGATTTATTGTGGATTCTCATGATTCCTTCGGGGAACCCTGCTCTTAACCACGTGTAAAGGCGCGACATAGGGCATTGAACACCGCTCAGCTGAAGCTAGGATCTAAGGTGAGTCAAGAGGATATGTGGTTGAATTTAATGAGGTCGCTACTATGAGAAACTATACCAAAATGGTTTTCTTTCAAACTAATGAATCAAGTCTTTCAATTTATCCAGGGATATGTATTTTATATGTACAAGATGGTTATATCCAGTTATAAGTTTGTTTATTATCAACCCCATTAACATAAATTATCTATAGTTATATTTACCATAAACCGTCATAAACCATAGGTAAGCCACTTATAAGGCAATTTAGCTATCTTGGGGCCCCCATCCTGTATATGATGTGCCCAAAACAATATTTTCTGTGCACCCCTAAGACGACCGCACCATAAATGATGATTTAAAAGACAAGGGACCTCAAATCATCACGAGTCCCATGGTTTATCCACATTTTCCCTATTGAAATAGGGATAAATTATGATATACCCTCTGGTAATTTGTTACATAGCTATTGAAAATGGTGATTTGTAGTGGATTTACCCATTGAACATTGTGATTTTCCATAGTTTTGTAAACGTTTACCAGAGGGTAATGGGGACCTGCCCCTTATTTTGAAACAAAGCCATCGCAAGACTGCATTGCAGTGCATACCATGCTTGAGCATTTCAGTCACTTACACAGATGCATGCTTTTTGTTGGGTTGGATACAACACTACAACACCACAAAATTACAGTAAGATTCCCTATGAAACCTCAAACACGACAAAACTACCCAAATGTAACAGTGTAGATTTTCCCTTATGTTTCCATATTTTCCCTTCTGTGGGCAACCCAACAATAAACCTACGATTTGGGCTTGGTTTGAATCTCACCCATAAAACTAGTGCGGATGGTTTACAGCATTGGCTTTACCACATTACATTTTGGTTAATAGTGTGATAATGACTTGGATGCACATATTACACACAAAAGAAATATTATATACTACTGTATAATTATTTAATGTTGTGAACCATATTATATGTTTACCATCATGATATTAACCTCACTATACAGCTCATGATTATCACTTTGATTCCTATGGTTTTATTGTTAATTATCATTATATTACTCACATTAAGTGAACAGGGAATTCCTATTGTCATCCCTGTTGGTGTGCCAATCATGATAGTTTTCCATAAACATATGAATATCGAGTTTTCCCATAATATATGTATAGTCATGAATGTTCCATTCATTTCCCATCAGATTATGATTATAAAACATGATAATTTCCGCATCCGTATATCGTTTATAGTTGTCTTATATTATATTTTCTCTCACCATAGTCGAATGTTTTCCCCATCAGACTGGTCCAACATCAGATGGGTTATAATCCCATTAACTAGTTTGATATATCGCCTATAAACCGTAGTGAAATTGGACTTATGAACCAACTTAGCGCTCACGAACTGGGGCACCACCTTGTATGATTATGATGATCTGTATATCGTTTCACCTCTGTTGGTCTCGGCACAGGTCACTGTCTCGGATATTCAGGAGCCAGCCACTGTGGACGAGGTGCTGTTTTTGTTGGAAGGGCTGGATTGGGTACTGTTGTTTTATAGGGAACATATTCAAAAGAAATATAGGATGTTTATAGCGACATACATACATATATAATCATATATCTGTATATATATGTATATTTAGATATGGTCTACTCTGATGGTTTTTTGAAGTTTGATTATGAACCAACTAGTTTTATAGAGGTTTTAAAAACGGTTTCATAAACATTGGAATACACAACTATATATAATTTTAAACCAGCTGGTGGTCACAATATAAACCCTGATTAACTAACAACATGGGTGGTATATGGGTGTATACAAAATTTTCATGAGATAAATCATATAAGTAACAATGTAAAGTTCGGTGTGTCCGAACATGTGCATTTTCTCCAAGATCTGGATGGTTTCGGCATGGAGGGCATGGAGATGGAACACGGAAGAATGCCCCTGGAGGCCCCATGGTATGGTTATATAATGTTATATAATTATATCATATATTATCATATTATATCTACCTTCTCAGGAAGTACGACTGGGGTATGATGACTATGGGGTGTCTTGCAAGGCTTGTACCTTCTCAGACAGTGGCCATGGATCCGATGGGGTTTGTACAGTGATCCCCATGATGTTGGTAACCGCGAAGCCGTGGAAGCGTAGGCTGCGAACGAGCAAGTGCCCTCGGCCAATGAAGTGACGGAAGTGCAGGTGCAACGGGGTCAGTGGGTCAGTGGGGCAGTGGGGCAGTGGTTGGTGGTGCCACCAATGGGATTTGAGAAACAAATACCAGCCCCTTGATAAACCGAATGTCAACTGGTTGGTGGTTTGGAACATGGCTTTTATTTTCCATTTCATATATTGGGAAGTTCATAATCCCAACTGACGAACTCCATCATTTTTCAGAGGGGTAGGTCAACCACCAACCAGTCAAGGTGAGTTTTATGGCTACTTCTGGGATGGACTCACCACAGGTTTGCCACAGCATCTTTCTATAAGGTAAATGAGCAGCGGATCAACTTAAACCACCTGGTACATCCTTGGAAAAAACATGGATCTGTTTTTTCTGTTTCTCAAAAACCAGGTTTTTGGACAACGGATTGGAAAAAAGCGGGCTACCAATCTGGAGGGTTACCAGGTATGATCATCCCCAAACGGACTGGCGACCTGTCCATTGATATCCCCTTAAATCATCCCACGAAGATTTAGACAAATGTCCATTGAGACCTTATGAATCTCATGAAAAATCCCTAGATGGTTTTATCCATTCATACATATATATATTATATTATATATAATTGTATATAATGGTATATAGAAAATCAATAATATGATAATGTAACTGATTGGTGGTTTGGAACATGTTTTTCCATATATTGGGAATAATCATCCCAACTGACTCTCAACTGACTTTCATATTTTTCAGAGGGGTAGGTCAACCACCAACCAGTATAAATTGATGGTATATCTTGGCAAATTATAACGACCTCACTGTTCTCCCGAGCCCTGGATTGTAGGGAAATCATCCCCACATGGCGAGTTTATGACATTGTTTTAACCACATTGTTTTTGTTATATAATCAATTATTCCCATTATATACCCCATATATATATATACACCATTATATTCCCATTTTATTCCCATTATTCACATTCAGTTTATGACATGGATTCCCATTATATATACCCATTATATAGTCCCATACCAGAGGGGTAGGTCAACCACCAACCAGTAATGATCCATCGGATGGAAATCTCCCACACCCTAGGTGGTGGACATCACTGCGGTGGCCACCACCAGTGGCAACGCAGAGGTCTCAGCTGAGGCCGGACGTAAACGGTGTCCCTGGAGGTTGTTACACAACGTCGTCAGTGGTAAGGGGTTAGGAACTGTAGTTAGGAACTATATCTATGGAAAGATCCACCATTTTGAATGGACAAATCAACTATTTCTATGGCAATGTTCAATAATTATTTAAACAAAACTATCTGGTTGGAGGATTGGAACATGAATTTTATTCCATTCAGTTGGGAATAATGATCCCAACTGACTTTCATATTTTTCAGGGGGGTAGGTATACCACCAACCAGTAATGGTTAGTAAGAAGTGATATATCATGGATTGAAGATCACGGAAGAATGAATTAGTGGAAATATGAATGTGGAAAACCAATATTAAGGGATAATTGAACAATAGCAACCTGGAACATTTAACCAATATAAGGGAATTTGAATTGGATAGTTCGCCTATAATATCACAATCACCTATTATAACTAGATGTTGTAATCATATGATTACTCTGCAACCTGAGTAATTAAGTGATATTTCATGGAATATTGAACATAATCCAAGTACTAGGTGGGGCCCTAGAGTGGATTGAAGTAATGTTCAATGGGGGTGTACATAATGGGATTTGATGGGAATTTTAGCTGGTTTATAATAGCTAACTTGGTAAATAACTAGGTCAATGTTTGGATTTGCGGTAGATAGAGATATCGAAAGGTTTTATAAAACCACTATGACTAGGGGGCCCGCATTGTATAGAGTATGTACATAGACTATAGATCTGTGGGGAAGATTTAGGGGTGCCCCGAGGATTGCATGGAGTGTGATGATCCATGTTTCTTGCGCCAAGGAAGCCAACCGAATCAAACTCGTGGCCATTGGCCGTCTCAGGAACCGATTGATTGGAGGTACCTACCATATATAAGGCCTATTTCTTAGGCCTAAATTTCAGGGAATTTCCCCACAAAATAACGCCCGAAATATGGTACTAACGTACCCCCATTTTAGGATCCTGGAGATCTCCCTTTGACTTGTGGCCCATTGCTTTCTGGTTTTTGTTGGTCATGCCCCATAAATCCATGGATAGTATGAAGGTTCTACCATTTATGATAAAGTCTGATGAACTTAAGGTCAGATCCACATCAACAACTATATAATATTATATACAGTCTTAACAATCATCATCTCTACTAAGCACCACTAAATCAAATCACTTTGATCACTTGGAATTTCTGTTTCTTTGATGTCTTTGCAGGCACCATGCTTGACGGCCTTTGGAGTCACGGTGAGGAATGCTCAGTGGGGAGGATGATGTCATCCCACAACTTTGGGATCCTACCTGGAAGTGCAGTTCCACTGATAAGATAGATTTCACCACGGTCTTTTTTTTACCTATGGGGGATTTCGTTCACCATGGTCATAAGCCATTTTGTGTTTCGCAAAAAGGGGTACCCCGGGTACCGCCGTTGGTTTCCACATTCAAGAATTGCGAAGCAGAACCAATGATTTGGATGATACCTTGTGGTACCACATTTTGATTACTATCCCATTTTCAATCACGACATAATATCAGTTTGTGGCAAAACAACAAAAGTTTAGTAGTCAAACAGCTAGTCGCTAATCACTACTTTTACAGTAACTGTTATTCAATGATTCGGTCTCAATCATCATACAACTGTTCTTCAAACAGTTAATCATCATGAGGGCAGCGCCCACCTGACTGTGTGTCATGGCGCGTGAGCCGCCCCAGCTGAAGAAGCCCCAGCTGAAAGGGTGGCGGAAGAGGTGGGAAGAGCAGAACCTCGACAGGAGAATTGAGAAATCCCTGCAGACCCTTCAGCGCAACAAATACCGCTACCAACTGGAGGAATGCATCAGGGCGCTTTGCAAAGAGCTGGGCGAGGGATGACGCACAGAGGTGGCCGAGGGATGTTTAAAAAAAACAAACATCGGCCAACAAAACGAGACAAGGATAAACAACACAACACCTCATAGGTTTTCAGGAGCCAAAGATCGAAGGTCTGCGCCAAGGTACTTTCTCGTTTGTGGTCTTGCTCAGGTCAAGTGTCTGTCTCAAGTATCCCCATTGAAACACGACGGACGACGAAAGACGACGAAGAGAAAAAAACGAGCAAAAGGGTTTCAAGGGTTCCTCTACGGGACCTCTGGGGGAAGAAATTCCAAGGGTTCCTCTCCGGGACCTCCGGGGAGAAAAAAATAAAATAAAATAAAATAAAAAATTAAGACGGGCACATACCATTGAGAAAAACACATAGCATGTTTTATGCATATTTGCAATGTTCGGTGGCAAGTGTTCTTCCCCGGGGTATGGGTTTGTCTCCGGGATTTTAGTTTTTTTTTTTGCAGCCTTGAGCGCGACCCTTCACTGTGGGAAAACACTTGGCCCTGAGAAATCCTTCGAATATGGGAAAATTTTCCAGGAATACGGCTGGGAAACCAGGACCTTTGAGGAGGGGAAAAAGAAAGCACCTTTGATACAGGGAGGAGGGTTGAGACAGGCACATACCATTGAGAAGGTAGAAAACCCTTCATCCAGACTTTTGAAAAGAATTGTCTTTGAAAAACTAAGGACTGCAGCGATTCCTTATACAGCTGTTGCACTATGTACTACTATCAGTTAGTTAGTCACTAACTATATAGTTTGCTTACTAAGCCCCATCAGTTGACGCAGGCCAGGGTGGCACTATGAACATCGAAGAGAAACAGGGTAACCACAGGTAACATGTTTAGTATGGTCGAATGAAGTAACACTTGTAAATTAATAAACCAATGGTGGTGTCGTCAAAAACATGGTTGTGTAAAAACCATGGTTATGTAGTTAAACTGAATTGGCAACTCTGTTTGGTGGTTTGAAACATTTTTTATTTCCCCGCATTGACGTGTTGGGTTTTTGTTTTTAGTGCTGTCTCCGCTCCTTCCTTCCTCCCGCCTCCTTCCACACACATATCACCCTTGGATCTCACTCACACATACATCACACACACACTCTCACTCGCACACACACACACACATCACACACACACACACACATCCCACACACACACCTCACACTCACACACACTGCTGATGGGAGCATGTTACTGAGTAACATTACTCGAATGAGGAACTTTATAGTGATGAAGTAGTTCATGCCTTGAGGGTTCCTAGGTCCAAAATCCTGGTCAGTCGAGTAGGGAAAGCAGTGGGAAACTCTGATTTCTGAGATAATCTCAAATTAGCAACATATACGCATGAAAATGGACAGCTTGTTCAACAGTTCAAAACCAACTTCTGCAGGTACAGGGAGGTGATCAGTCTCCCCTTCCCACCAATGGCAATAGCTTCGTTGCGTGCAGTATGCCAAAGGTGCTGCACGCCCCTGCATCTGATGGATTGTTTGAATCAACTTGTTAACAGAAACTCAGGTCCGCATGAGTGATAGCGGATTTCACACACACAATGGCCCCCCCGGCAGGGGAGGCAGCTGCTGGTGAACGCTGTTTTTCATCGCAGTATCAGTTTGCAATATATACATGTCCTAGAAATTCTTGTACAACATATGGGAAAGGTTCACTGTAAATCAAATGGTCTCCTTGGGACAGAATAAGGGTCCGGACTGCGTTCCCGTTGGAGAGCGACTCTTCTGAAAACGATCGGTTGAAGGGAACGAGGACTGAACAGATGAACCATCAGCTGCAGTGAAAGACCGATCTTGACGTCGATGTGATGTAGAACTTGCATTTTCAGAAAGTGGCTCGATCAAAACGTTCTTGATACTCGAGCGTGTCTGACCATCATAACTATAGGGCTCCCGGACTTGCGATCTGGATGGTTCACTTTCATTTTCGATACGAGACTCAACTGAAGCGTTCTTGATACTCGAACGTGTCTGACCCTCACAAATATAGGGTTCCCGAACTGGCGATCTGGAGCGATCGGTGAGACGTTTCCGAAGGGACCACTGTTCCAAAGTATTGCTAAGTTCACGCAACGAAGGCATCGTAAGAAGGAGATAGATTGGTTTGAGTTTGAGCTTAAATATACTCTTCAAAATTCAAAAACGTGTGATTCGAACTGTCAAAGTCAAGATTCGCAATCGGCAAAAGTATGATGAAAACAACTGAGTTGAGAAAAACACAACATGAACATAACTGAAAAGGTAAATGAAAAAGAAGAAAGCAGTGTGACGTTATCGAACTTCAGATGAAAAACGTCAAAGAATGCCCATTGATGAAAATGTCCAACATCAAATGACTTCACGAAAGTGATGGCGAATGACGACAAAACACGACAATGCGAAATCCAGCAACTGTTTTGTCTGCGTTTCCTGTCATGGTATCTAGTCAAAGTGAAAAAGAGAATCAGGATCAAGTTGTGGATGACGTGAGCGTACCAATTTGATAATCTGACTTCTCAAAGTAGAAGACAATACATCACGTTGTCGTCGAGACCAAATGGACAGAAAATCTTGAATTTGAGGTATTTGTAGAGAACTGGGCCATGTATTCTGCAAAATGAGACGAATTCTGGCCAGAGCTCCGGACGTGAGTGCCTTAGTCGTACTTGAACTCCTTGTTGAACGAAACGCTTTGTCCACAGGTTGAAGATATGTAGTTGTACGCTGTAACACGTCAGCGTTGTATCCTAACAATTCAGATCCTTCAACTTGTTCAAGTAGAATGGGAGGTGAATAGAATGAAAGATTCCAAAATAACTGCATTTCTGAGTTCCAGTGTCCCACAGGAAGTAGCATCACTCGATTGTCAACGTAACGATGATGAAAAGTGGAATTGTTGGTAAATTGACGAAAACAGGACAGAAAAGTATGTTCTCGCATGAGTGCGACAGCTGCACAGAAAATAGGTGCCCATTGACTACCCATGCTGGCACCACGTTTTTGTAAAAATGTAGACATTCCGACGGTGAAAAAACTGTGATTCAACAGAAAGCTACAAATAGGTAGAATGTCGCCCAAGCGAATATCACGATACATCTTGGTGTGTTGTCGCCATTGACCTCTAAAAACTCGCAGGGTGCGTTCATGTTGATATACGTGTGCTTGAAGTACAGAATCGAAGGTCTGTCCATGTTGTAAAATATATTGATGAATGGCGAATTCAATAGATCCGAGAATGCGGTCATGTTCAACTTGGTTGTAGAAACCAGCAATATCAGTCTGAAAGAGAAGAAGGTCAGCACCATGATCAATTTGGAAAAAGCATTTGATTTCGTTCATCACCTTGTTGATATCACTGTAGCGAAGTAAGGATGGATAAACAACTTTCAAAATATCTTGCAACACCACAGACAAAATATAACCCATCTGTTTTGGCCAAGATCGACTGTAATTAACGATGGGTCGTGCTTTCATAAACGAGCGTGAAGGTTTTGGAAGAATATACGCCTTGCTTAATGATAAATGAAAATCGAAAGCCCAAGGATATCTGTCAGTGATCCATCCAGGAAGATCATACTGAATATTCTTCAGAATAGTGGCTGAATCAACATTACAAAGATGAAAAACAGAGGTGTCTTGAAATGTCTTACACAGCAAATTGTGCCACTGGACTGGACAATGTAAGGTGAGAGACGATGGAAAATGATCTGCTGGGGAAGCAATAAGTCCGTCGATCCTTTGTCGAGCCTGTCGAATACGTTTTTGAGTGTACAACTGACTTGAATCAAGTTGCAAATTCCAACAGTCTTGTAGAAAAGCCTGCCAATACTGGATCAGATCTCGGCGAAGTTTCCAACGTCGTAACCATTTTTCAAATTGGAAGGTGTTTTGATGGAAAAATTGTGTCCACGTAGGTGTAACTTCATCTTCCAAATGTGCAGTCAGAATAGGATCCAGTGGAAAACATTCCGAGGCGAAGGATGAAATATGATCTGTTTTCCGTGGATTGTGTTGAACATGAAGAGGAAACAACTGACAAGCACACTGAGGGCGAAACTGAGGTGTCCACAACTTTAGAAAAGAACGAAAATTGTACAAATATTGAGCTAAAGTTCGATTTTTCACTGTCACAAACGGTGCACGAACTTTGTGAAAAATGGGAAAGTTACAGCGATGATGGTGAGTGAATCCCAGCAACCATTGTCGAAATCGACGTTCCATTGTATCCGACGAAACCTGTAACTGCATGGGTATATTCGCTGGTGGCGATTCAGTAGCATAGAATTTGAAAATATAACGCAATTGAGATTGTGCTCTGGTCCGAAAAGGTTCCGACATATGGTGGCTCAAGCGCCATAACAAGAAAATCAACTGCACATTTGACAACTTCGAACGTAGAATGCGAGAACAAATGA